ATATATAAACTTAATTAACATGTTTGACATGAAACGGATTCTTTGCAGTATTCTCAAAGAAATAACTAATGCCAACACGCATCAACAAAAATGATACCTCGTCTTGTTATGAAGAGTAAATGTCTGTTTTTGTCACAGGAGACAGCTTGGGCGTACATGACGGGAAACCATTCAGTACCAAGGACAGAGATAACGACGAGAGCCCGTCCAGCTGTGCTCAGGAGCGCAAAGGTGCGTGGTGGTACGACAGTTGCCACCACTCCAACCTGAACGGCCTGTACCATCTGGGTACTTATGAGAGTTACGGCGACGGAGTCACCTGGCGCCACTGGAAGGGTTATAACTACTCCCTGAAGCGCACTGAGATGAAACTCCGACCAGCTCCATAACGTCACACATTGTGTGATTTTTTTGTCTGTATCTCCTACGAACCATACATGGTTTGCAGTTTGCAGTGTTTGTGCTATTTCTCCTGCAATGTTTTTATTTTCTCATTTTACATGAGCATGGCTCTAAGGCTAACATTGAAGGTCATCAACTGTATTGCTGTACATGTTACCAGTAGTGATCATTATGATCTCACAATGAAAAGAAGAACACGGTTAAGGTTTTTAAAATACACAATAATCCTTACACCATAGAAGGTTGTCATCCCTAGAAAGGTTGTCATTTTCTGAACTAGTCTTTACGCTATAAAAGGCTAAAAAGAGCGTGCCTTACAATTAGAAATGTGTTTTTTTTTTACCAAAAAAACGGACGAAAAGCATAGGACATTTTGAACAGCTATATACTCAGCCTTAAAATTTATCTCACAAATTAAGATTATTTCTAAGAGAGAAACGTTCTAATTCTAAGGTTAATATGACATGAAACCAAGTATGAAAGGTTTTTGGGCCTCAGGATACTGTTGGATGGGCGTCCGGACCGTCCGTGACGCCTGAATCTGCTGGGGTCTACTATTAGAATGTAGCTTTTACGACAAGCCGGAACATGCCGGCCTTGTGCGGCAGTTATGAATCGGCACTGTACTGATCTATGGCAATCTGGGTTCCGCCCTCCATAGTTAGGCCACAGAAAGTAAATTTTCTGGATGGCATCCTCCGCAAACTCCGAATCTAACGAGATAGGGCGAAAAAAAACAGGCGGGCAAAAAACAAGATTCCTACATTTTCAACTTTTGACATCGTAAACCTTGTTCAACATCAAACGATACCCATATTGTACTACGTTTACCGTCAACTATTAAAACATCCATTTCTAACTGACACAATTTTGAAAATTAAAGTTTTCAGTCATTGTACATGGTTTTGACGCAGAGTGACATGTGGTTCATGTCATGCGGCCAGCCTATGTAGTCCCTGTAATCGGAAAGGATCCGTGTAAACAAATAAACAGTCAACAAACGTTTTAACATTTATCATATGTAGATATTGCTTCCTACTACGATTTTATCCTTTAGTGTTTCCTTTGAGAACCTTGAGCGATTTTTGCCCGTTCCCTAACTTCTTCATTTTCTTCTTGCAATCAGACGGTCTTGGTTCATACATTCTTCTGTTTGCCTGTATGTTTATAGTGTTTAGCACCAATGCCTGTATGTGGATAGTGTTCAGCACCAAGGATAGGTTTGTTTGCCTGTATGTGTATATTGTTTAGCACCAAGGACAGGTTTGTTTGCCGGTATGTGTAGTATTTAACACCAATGCCTTTATGTGGACAGTGTTCAGCACCAAGGACAGGTTTGTTTGCCTGTGTATGTTAATTGTTTACCACTAAGGACAGACATGTTTGCCTGAATAAGGATAGTTTTCAGCACCAAGGGCAGGCATGAAAAGGAACGCTACAGTAGCAAGGTACATGTATTTGTACTGTACTGTTCCCAGATATTTGTGCTACCGTCAAGTAGTTAAAAGTCGTTCCATCGTCATCAGTACTAGAACGTCACAGTTATCATCATTGTACTGCGGTGTTCTAGAACAACCTTTACATTGTTGTAGCGTTGCTGCGGTGCAGTGAACAAACACAACGACACTTTCGAGAATGCCGCACGTGTATTTCTCACGCTCCTCGTTGTGTTATCCCATGTGATAAAATGGGAGTGTTAGATAGGACCGCGTCAGCGTTCCTAACAGTAGCACACGCCCTGTCAGTGCTCAGGCCTGGCGGGAAGAGTCGGGATGGCCAGCACAAACTGAACGTGACTGTTCACGAGGGGAAGGTCGGCCGCCAGAGCCAGAGCAAGTATCTAGTGACACTTCGTGTCGGGAAAGAAAAGAAGACAACAAAGAAGAAGAGATCAGACGGTCTCCTCTGGGATTACGGGGCCGAATTCTTACACTGGACGCCGGCAGACCCACTGATCCTTAAACTCCGCAAGGCAAAGCGGTGCAAAGACAAGACCGTCGCCGTGCTTTCTCTAGATGTCGCAGCTGCAATAGAGTCGGTGGACGGCTTGCCGAACCGATGGTGGTATGCCTTGGATAGAATCGACAAAAGCGGGCGTCAGAAGGAAGAGGCATTCCTGCAAGTCACGGTGACTGTCGATGGTGTGGAGGGGAAACTTGGTTCTACTCAGGACCAAGGTAAGTCTGTATCTTTGTATGTTAGCGCCCTTATGTTATAGCCGTAGAGGAAACTTACTTTTACTAATACATGGTTCTGCTTTGCTTTTACGGTTTGGCCGAACCGGCGTTCAAGAGGTCGAAGCACCAGAGTTTCCACCTTCCATAGAACAGATTTGCGTTTGAATCTTTGAAAAAAAAAGTTGTTATATTGAACAAAGCAGGCTCATTTCCAAAGCAAAATTCTACTTTGATAATAACACAATAGAAAACGTTCCATCCTATTGCTATTTGGGCCTAAGTCTCACTTCATCAGGTAGCTTTATCCTAGCTAAAAAACAGTTATCACTGAAGGCGCGTAAAGCCATTAATAGTTTCAAATCAATTATCCGTTCATCAGTCTCACCACGTAGCCTCCTAAAGATATTTGACACATGTGTAAAGCCGATCCTTCTGTACGAATGTCAAATATGGGGGACAGAACATCTACATGATACCTCACCTGTTGAAAATGTACACAACCATTTCTGTAAAAATGTTATTGGTGTTTTAGTAATAGTAGCAATGTCGCCTGTAGAGCAGAATTAGGTAGGTTTTCTTTAGATATAGATGTTTGTCTGTGTATAGTATATATTCTGGTTACGTCTGTTCCAATTGTATTCAACTTCACACCCCTTCAAATGGATGCGCTCCTCTTACAGCAAAGTCTTCCGACAAATACCCGTAGACGAACTTTATTGCAACGTGGTAAAGACATATTAGATCACAATGGATACTCCTTTTTGTGGTATTCCAATAACTCACATTGTGACCTTGAACATGTTGGTAAAATACTGAGAAGAAGACTTACATATATGCATTTACAAACATTTTTTCATAACTTGTCAATTGATACTGGTAAGTTAAGATTTTATGCCAAATCTAAAAAATATATCTAGATCTAGCAGATTTCGAACTACGCTCTGCCATTAGCAAAATTAGAGTTAGTGCCCATCCACTGGAAATAGAGAGAGGCCGGTATAGAAGGCTACCTGTATATGAAAGAATTTGTAAATATTGTAATGCAAAGGTTGTGGAAGACGAAACACACTTTATCTCAAATTGTTCGTTTTATAGCAACGCTCGAAATTAGTTGACTATTCAAACTTCTACAATTTATCCCAATTTCTTTAAACTTTCAGACAAAGAAAAAAATATTCTTCTGTTAACTTCCCAAAACCCACAAATTTTGGAAAAGTTGGGACATTTAACGTCGGTTTCCAAAAGAGGACTCAAACCCTTCCGACATAGTTTTAGACAAAGCTATATAAACTACTTTTCATTATGTTGATATCAGTTATTCTATAATCTGTTTCAATATTGTTGTATGTGTATGACTTGCAATTAGCCTCCGGCACGAATTTGCAATAAACTTCTTAATTCTTAATTAACTTATGTATAATGTACACGGTATCCGCGCATTGTATAATTTTATTCAGACCGTGCCAAGCCAGTCCAGGAGACTGTGCAGCCAGCAGCGCCAGAGAACCCAGAGACCACCTCTCCACCATCCGCGGGCGGAGATGCCGTAGCCGCTCCCTCATCAACAAGCTCGGCGCCCAGTCAGTCTGCCAAGCCGTCTACCAAAAGAAAGGTCAAGCTAAGGCGAGAGCATGGTCGATCAATTTCCCAAGATGGGGAGACAATTCAGTATACCCAAGATCGGGAGATAAATAATGATACCCAAGATGTGGAGATAAATAAGGATACCCAAGATGGGGAGATCGATGAGGATACTCAAGATGTGGAGATCGATGAGGATACCCAAGATGGGGAGATTGATGAGGATACCCATGATGTGGAGATCAATGAGGATACCCAAGATGGGGAGATTGATGAGGATACCCAAGATGTGGAGATCAATGAGGATACCCAAGATGGGGAGATTGATGAGGATACCCAAGATAGGGAGATCGATGAGGATACCCAAGATAGGGAGATTGATGAGGATACCCAAGATGGGGAGATCGATGAGGATACCCAAGATGTGGAGATCGATGAGGATACCCAAGATGGGGAGATTGATGAGGATACCCAAGATAGGGAGATCGATGAGGATACCCAAGATAGGGAGATCGATGAGGATACCCAAGATGGGGAGATTGATGAGGATACCCAAGATAGGGAGATTGATGAGGATACCCAAGATGGGGAGATCGATGAGGATACCCAAGGTTGGGAGATCGATGAGGATACCCAAGATGTGGAGATCGATGAGGATACCCAAGATGTGGAGATCAATGAGGATACCCAAGATGTGGAGATCAATGAGGATATCCATGATGGGGAGATCAATGAGGATACCCAAGATGTGGAGATCAATGAGGATACCAAAGATGTGGAGATCAATGAGGATACCCAAGATGTGGAGATCAATGAGGATACCCAAGATGGGGAGATCGATGAGGATACCCAAGATGGGGAGATCAATGAGGATACCCAAGATGGGGAGATCAATGAGGATACCCAAGATGTGAAGATCAATGAGGATACCCAAGATGTGGTGATCAATGAGGATACCCAAGATGTGAAGATCAATGAGGATACCCAAGATGTGGAGATCAATGAGGATACCCATGATGGGGAGATCAATGAGGATACCCATGATGGGGAGATCAATGAGGGTACCCAAGATGTGGAGATCAATGAGGATACCCAAGATGGGGAGATCAATGAGGATACCCATGATGGGGAGATCAATGAGGATACCCAAGATGTGGAGATCAATGAGGATACCCAAGATGTGAAGATCAAAGAGGATACCCAAGATGGGGAGATCGATGAGGATACCCAAGATGGGGAGATCAATGAGGATACCCAAGATGTGGAGATCAATGAGGATACCCAAGATGTGAAGATCAATGAGGATACCCAAGATGTGAAGATCAATGAGGATACCCAAGATGTGAAGATCAATGAGGATACCCAAGATGTGGAGATAAATGAGGATACCCAAGATGTGGAGATCGATGAGGATACCCAAGATGGGGAGATCGATGAGGATACCCAAGATGTGGAGATCGATGAGGATACCCAAGATGGGGAGATCAATGAGGATACCCAAGATGTGGAGATCAATGAGGATACCCAAGATGGGGAGATCAATGAGGATACCCATGATGGGGAGATCAATGAGGATACCCAAGATGGGGAGATCAATGAGGATACCCAAGATGTGGAGATCAATGAGGACACCCAAGATGGGGAGATCAATGAGGATACCCAAGGTGGGGAGATCGATGAGGATACCCAAGATGGGGAGATCGATGAGGATACCCAAGATTGGGAGGTCAATGAGGATACTCAAGATGTGGAGATCGATGAGGATACCCAAGATTGGGAGGTCAATGAGGATACTCAAGATGAGGAGATCGATGAGGATACCCAAGGTTGGGAGACAAGTCAGAATACCCAAGATGGGGACACAGAAGGCACATTAGAGATAACCTCTACTACAGGAAAGGGCAGGCCACGCTGTTCCTCAGTCTCATCGGAAGGAGAGGCGGGAACGTCAGAGAGCAGCCGCCGCACGGACACATCACCACCGTCCGCAGCCGGCGATGTCGCAGACGACAAGCCGGAGTCTCCCCCAACAACATCCAGCCCACCTGTCTCATCCAACACACCGGACCAGACCGGTACAAGCTGCAAATGGGAGGGTGATGTCATGGCGGGCCCAGAGGGTCACTCATCTCGTGACAAGGACGTGGACGTCTCCCCTGTATCCATTGATGTGGACATTTCCACTGGATACATGGACTCCGGACGGGGTGAAGGTAAGAGGCTTTATAGATCTGTTATTTCTAACTACTATCTGCAAATGAACTCTCCGATAAATGTACACTTTTTGTTAGCGTCATTTCTTTGCAAATATCTTCTTTTCAGACCACAGTCATGCCCGTAGCCAGGGGGGGTTCGGAGGGTTCGGAAGAACCCCCCCCCACAAGGCTCAAAGGTCCACTTTTTGGTCCACTTTTTATGTAAAGGTCCACTTTTTGGTCCACTTTTTATGTAAAGGTCCAAGATTTTTGTTGAAAAGATGGACTGTAATCGTAGAAAAACTGCTCCCTTTGTCTTGGAAATCCTCTCAAAAACGCATGAAATGCCATTTTAGAAGGTTCATTTTTCAAAATTTTCCGGGGGCTCCTAGTACTACCGTAGTCCTAGGAACCTCGCGCCTTCGGCGCTCGAGGTCCCCTCAAGCAGTGGGTCGAACCCCCCCATTCAAAATCCTGGCTACGGGCATGACAGGTAAATACAGACCACTCTTTAGTGAGGAAAGTTAGCTTTAATTTGGTAGTAGAATAATTAACTACAGCATAACACAGAAAAACAACCACTATAAAGTGAACGCCAATTCTATCTGATTCAGACCCTGGCAAGCCCGGGTTTCCGGGGAAGACTGTACCGTTAGAGAAGTCAGAAACTTCAGTGCCTGTTACACTGATAGTAAAATAATCGCACTTGCAGACGAGAAGACAGAGTCTTCCCCAACAACAGGCCAGACATCCAGACCACCTGCCTCATCCAACACACCGGACCAGGCAGCTACGAGTGGCAGTGGAGAGGGCGATGTCATGGTGGGCCCAGAGGGTCACTCATCTCGTGACAAGGACGTGGAAGTCTCCCCTGTATCCATTGATGTGGACAGTTCCACTGGATATATTGACCCCGGCCGGGGTCATGGTAAGAGGCTTCTTATATCTGGTATATGTTTAATTATTTCTGCACCGTTAGATGTAGACTCTCTGTTAACGTCGTATCTTTGGATATATCTTCCTATTAGAGGTAAATACAAGCCACTCTTTAATAAGGAAAGATCCATTGATTTTAATGTTTACCTTCCCAGAAGGAAAACGTATTGTTTTTCCTCAGTTTTTTTTCCTCTTGTTCTTCACCAAACAATTAAGGTCAATGACCTGGACCAAACGTCTGTCACCATGGTAACTAGTATTGAAGCAGTGTTGGGTTACATTTTATAGCAGGATAGAGTTGGAGAGGCCCTCACCATTATATGAATTGTTTTTTTATTAAGACTAAACAGGGCAGTAGTTTGAGGTAGACCATGTGAAGGTAAATGGCATGCATTTGCTTTGCGAATGTTACATTTCTAGTTAGTAAAATAATTTGCTACAAAACAACCAAGAAAAACGAAAGTGAACGTTAATTCTATTCAGACCCAGTCGAGCCCGGGTTCTCCGAGAAGACGGTAACGTTAGAGAAGCCGGGGACTTTAGAAGCGCTGAAAGAAATGATTGAAGGCGCGGAGCTCGAGGTTCCACAAATGGCCACTACTGTGGACAACGACTCTGGACAGGGTCAAGGTAAGAGACGTCTGAAGTTCGATCTGTAACTAGACTATTAAGTATCGGCCTTTCTTTATACATAACCTAGGATCTTCCTCTGAAGGGTAATATATACTAGCAGGTTTTAGAATAAAGCAAGTGCCTGTTACACTGATAGTAAAATAATCGCAGTTGCAGACGACAAGCCAGAGTCTTCCCCAACAACAAGCCCGACATCCAGCCCACCTGCCTCATCCAACACACCGGACCAGGCAGCTACGAGTGGCAAAGGGGAGGGCGATGTCATGGCGGGCCCAGAGGGTCACTCATCTCGAGACAAGGACGAAGAGAAGCCAGAAACGTCAGCGGAGCTGAAAGAAATGATTGAAGGCGCGGAGCTCGAGGTTCCACAAGTGGCCACTACTGCGGGCTGCCACACAGAGGACAACTCCGGACGGAGTCAGGGTAAGAAGTGTCTGAAGTTCGATCTGTAACTAGACTATCTAGTTACGGATATTCTTATCATACAACCTAAATCTTTTCTTCTCAGGGGTAAATACAGGTAGTTTTTTTTTAGAATAAGAGAAGTACTCGTCAAAAAGTCGCTAGAAAAATTTACTGCAGAAAATCACTGAAAAATTTCCCTTTGTTATCTGGTAGATATCTTTGCCCTGGTAAGAGGATTCTTTCCAGTTGAGGCCTCATCCCTTTACTGAATTGTCAGTTCGGCTTCAGTAGACAGTTCCAAACTATCATTATGAACATTAAAAAAGCCACTGCACCGATAGAAGATTCTTGTGCCCTTGGGAAAGGCACTTTACACAACTTTCCTGAGTATTGCCTTGTCCTGTATTCGTCCTCTGCGTTAGTGGCGGCATAAATAAGTTGATATAACTTGAGTGTGCTGTCGCCATGTCTAGTCATGAACTGTACGGCATATAAAACAACTATTCTACAACCATTTCACAGCCATTCGAAAGGTAGGCTCGTGTTAAACAAATGGTTATAACTAAAAAGATATTTACCATTCAAAAATGTGAACTTTTTATCCAGCCCCAGCCGAGACCGAGCCCCCAAAAGACACGGTGTCACCAGACAACTCTACCAGCGACGCGGACTCAGACAGGCCTGACACGGCATCATCTCCACAGGGAGGAGGAGTGACTCTTCCACTTACCAACCCACCACCCCGCCACAAGGATGCAGATGACCCGACGTACGAATTATTAATCTGGTCAATCGAAGACAAGTGGGGGGACATAATGTCGAAGAGACAGTATGCGGATGAACTTTATACTTATGCCAACACCCTCCGATCGAAGCTCGAGGCGACCGTCCCTCACGTTCTAAATTACACCGTCATTAAAAATCTGGCGGCAAAGGTGCCCAAGTGCCCGGATTACGAGTTACCAGACACACAGGGGATGAGTTTAGAGGATCTTCAACACATCAGAGACACTCTGACTAAGTTATTGAAAAAGGAAGAGGAGCGGGCAACGTACCTCAGACGATGGTACATAGATGAATTATGTGCAGTGGCCATGCGGGAAGCGCCTCAAGTCTTGGAAACACTAAAGTAATATGTAAAGGAGGAAAGGGTCCACAACTCTGAAACGGTCGATCGTCGTTTAACAGATCCCGTGCATAGGTTGCCATTTCATGATGATTTCAGATTGAGTCAGACCAACACTTTTAACTTTTTGACAAAATGTCGGTATTCATTTCCATCTACCAGCAATGAATTGACAATATCTTGGAGTCGACAATACCTTGGAAAATGTTGATGTATTCACCTTTAGTTGAAAATTAAAAGACGACCTCCTTCAAATTACAATACCAAACACAGGACTCAAGTTTTCATTTGGTTGTTTCTATGGTGACTGGTGCCTCAGATGACCAAGCTGCTCTCGTTATGACTATGGGTACATCTATGTGCAATTACTCCGGTACACTGTACGTGTCAGTGACAGAACGTGTATGTTGAATGGAACAGGAACTAGTCATTTGGTGACTACACGGAAATATACTAAAATTTGTCAATAAAGTATTGGGTGTTTGCCAATTTCCAGCTGTCTTGTCCTTACGTTATTCCACTCAAAGAGAGTAGATATATTTTAATTTCCCGTGATAGTGTTCTTACCTGTAGTGTGTAGGAAGAACGAAGGTGAGGTTGTTTTTCCAGCCAAATCTTTGGAAGATGCACGCCACGGTTGTGGACGCAGCTTTGTGGACTTTTAAAAACACCGCGTTCTTTACCTTCTCTCTACAGGCACCGCTGGAGACGCTTACTCTCGTGGAGAAAATATGACATAAATTTGCTTAATTTACATAAAACTACATTACATTAAAACATAAAAAATAATGAGAGAATCATACAAAGGATGATCTTTAGAACAACCGTCGAAATGTTAGACCTGTAATATTTTAGCACAAAATCCAAACATCAGGGTATCAGTACTAGTGTTTTGTTGTTTTATTCTGTGTGTGGATAGTGCTCAGCACCAAGGACAGCCATGTTTGCCTGTATGTGGATAGTGCTCAGCACCAAGGACAGGCATGTTTGCCTGTATGTGGATAGTGCTCAGCACCAAGGACAGCCATGTTTGCCTGTATGTGGATAGTGTTCAGCACAAAGGACAGGCAGGTTTGCCTGTGTGTGGATAGTGTTCAGCACCAAGGACAGGCAGGTTTGCCTGTGTGTGGATAGTGTTCAGCACCAAGGACAGACGTATATGCCTGAATGTTGATAGTGTTCAGCACCAAGGACAGGCGTGTTTGCCTGTATGTGGATAGTGTTCAGCACCAAGAACAGGCATGTTTGCCTGTGTGTGGATAGTGTTCAGCACCAAGGACAGACGTATTTGCCTGTATGTAGATAGTGTTCAGCACCAAGGACAGGCATGTTTGCCTGTATGTGAATAAAATGTGTACATAAATTATTTTCTTACACTAAGTTACTTACAAAAAACGCTCCCTACTTACTAAAAAGTCCTCAGACACACTTCCATACTACCATAACAAATGGTGGTTATGTTACAAATTTATTGTATTTTAACGCCCAAACCACGAATATGTACAGAAATCATGTATGGAATGTTAGGGCAACACGACATGTTAGGATACTCCTTTTCTTTACAGTAATTTTTCCAACAACATAATCCACAGGGCCCCACGGAAAAGCAGTATTATCACTGAGTAGGCAACCCTGTATAAATATGACGGAAAATAGAAAATTAACTAGAAAGGTAACATTCGCACAACAAATCCATAATGTTAACCTTCGCATGTGGTCTGCTCTGTTGATTCTTACTCAAACACATTCATATATATATAAATGGTCAGACAGGAGTCTAAATCCCTCCTGCTATAAAATCGCAACATGATGTAACCATGCACTAGTTACCATGGTGACAGACGTCTGGTTCAGGTCATTGACCTTATTGGTTTGGAAAAGAAGAAGAAGAGGACACAGAGCAAAAACTATATGTTTTCCTTTGGTAACCATAATAAATCCATGTACCTGGTACCTTTACTCCCGGTTCTAAGTCTGTCTCTGGTTGGTTCAACCAGGCGTCATGAAAACGGCGAGGCATCATCAGAGCTAGAATAGCAATTGTATAAAAGGACAAGGTGGCATGCTTTCTTTCATTAAAAACATACGATCCTACAAAGGAAGGTTTCACTACTGCTAGGGGGTACAGGTCTATATTTTCTGCTGCAAATCTCTGTGTTAGGCCACAGGAAGTAAATTTTATAGATGACATCCTCCTAGATGACAGACTCCAAATCTAATGCAACAGAGCGAAAAGAAAATGGTGGGCCAAAAAAAAAGATACCTACAAATTTGAATTTTGATATATCATTAACCTTGTTAAACAAGAAATGATACCCATATTGTGCTGTCTGTATTTGAAGGACCAAAGGATAAGAATACGAGCAAAAATATTACGGTCCACTTGAACAATATCAAAGAGAGAAACACAATAATCACAAAACACCATGTCTCCATTATCAGGCAGTGTGGTCGTCTGTATTGAGTAAAGTAACAGTTCACTCACTGTAAAACAAGAGAACAAACATTCCTAAACTTTCTTCCTTCTGGCTTAGCTGTTTACACTCAAGACAGAACCTTCTGTACAACTGGCCCGCTTTAAATGTCTAATTATACATAACACTGTACACAATGTTCAAGTATTGCAAACAATATCCACAAAAAGAATGTTTCAAGCATAATACAATGTACACATGCAGGGTGAAGTACATTCATGTATGTTGATTGTACGTATGATAATAAGTATGGAAAGAGCTGAATCCAATGAACTCTTGCTTCTTGAGTGACTTATTTGATGTCAAATCAACTGTATTATTCCCAAGTCAGTATAGTTCACATAAAGTATACTAAACAGTAGAAGACATGAGAAGTTTTTGCTCTATTTTGCATCAACAATTTCCAGAAAAAAATCACAGAAACAAAAATACTAAAATATCTACAAAATTGGACAAAAAAGCAACATTTGTCAATATGGCAACAAAACATCACAAACACCAAAATGACATCCATTTGATAGAAATTTCTCATTTTGCTACTAACTTTACAAAATTATAGGTATCTACCAGCAGCCACAGGAATTTTTATGATTTCAGAGTTGAAATATGATTTTCACTTTGCTTTGTGACGCAATGATATGCAACAGGTTAAAAAATGTCCAAAGATGTCCACCCATCATTGTGACAGACATGTACAATGATAATCACTTTTTCACAAAGCTTACTTAATCCAATCATGTGTAGTGTCATTTTGCTGGCTGATTTGGCAATATTCCTTCCTGTAGTTGAGTTAAATACTATAAATACTAAATGCTATTTTTGAAAGTTTATGACTGATGCTGTTTATATCTTGCAAACTCTAGAAGATACACTGATGTTTCACACAACAGTTGTGAAATACACTTGCCTTTATACACATTCTTATATCCAGGCTACTACTTTATACAGCATGACTGAGTATCTACTTATATTGAGGTATATGGAAAGTATGATGATTGTGAGGCAGTGAAAAGTGTAGCCAATAAATACATGTATAATCAACTACAAGAGAAGATTGTTTTGACTCTGAATAGGGTATGAGCCTTTTCCAAAACGATCGCTGCTAGAGGTATTATGGTCAGATTTTATGTTACACAGACTGAGAACGATGTGAACCTATAAACTTTCAAGGAAGGAAACAACCATCTGTTTACTACTATTTTTTAAAACATGAGACTGTAAAAACATTACCTCTGTGCTGGAGGTATTGTTTTGCTGGCTGTGAGTATGTTTGTGTGGGTTGGACATTAAGGTTCCTGTGCTTGGATTCCAAGCAAGACAGTTGTTTGCTTCTATGTCACTGACACTGCATAAAAAAGTACCCTTTCTTCCACTACCACACAAGATAGTCCAGCGAAAGCAGCCACTACGGATTCACCCTAGACAGTACATATCCACTCTAAAAGATTCCCCATGTAAAAGACACACCATAGAAAACTGTGGAATGCTATCAACTTACCTACTTTCACACTAAAATCTTACACCGTCCAATCCTTGGAGAAGTCAACCCACTATCAGCAGATGGAAACAAAGAAAAAATTTAAAATGGTCACATGGTCAACTGATTTCACGAGCCAGCCAATCAATGATGAGCCAACATGATCAGTTTAGTAGTGTTTGTCCAATCAGCCAGAAGTACAGCTTTCAAAGTCTGCCTCACGAGCTAGGTTAATTCCACATTCAGGACCATTCTGCAACATTTCTATACATACACGTTTATTTGTCTACTTTATAGCTATGGGGTGACCTTCAAGTGTAACAGTTCAGTGCTTCTTTGATAATCATTCTGCTCGGTCACAAAGGCTGTGTCCACAGTTCTCTAGACCCTACGATAGAGGGTCGACAAGGAATGAAATAAGCTTGCACACAGTTGGATCAGTCCCACACTGTCCTGCATGTAAAACCCTACATAAAACAATCACAGGTCATGATCACATCACTGTACAACACCGATCCCTGATTGTGTTTGGTACGTCTGTACATCTGTCGTAAGCTCGGCATGGCTTGGAAAGCACCAGGCTGTCAAAGACGGGCCTGTAAAGCTTCGTGTTTTTGCTGTGAGCAGTTGTTTTTTTGTTTGTCTGAAGATTCTGCTGTATTACATGCACCATTTCCACATTTTCTTTCATTCAGAAGCGTAAAAAGTCATCTTTCCAGTTAACATCAGCTTGCATCAGTGTAAGATTTAAAGCGACGTGTTTTTCAGAGTTTGTGGGAATTGTTGCAAAGCTTTTTGCCTGGCCAGTGTGGCTGAATCGGCGGTGTGTCATCCCCAATCCTATCTGTAGCTACTGTCTGTGGTTAGTTCGGACCATCGCGTCTCGAAACACGCCCGCATGTTGTGTCCGGCCTGCCCCACGGCGGAATCATCCTCGTTGAACGTCTCACAGTTGTCAAAGATCAGCCTGACGTCCTCGGCAAAGTCCTCCCTTGACCTGTACCTGAAATGTACAGGAGAAAATGTTAGCTTTTGTTTTAAGCTTTTAAGCTTTTTTTACCATTATTCGGGTTACACAAAAGGCAGCAAACAAATGATGCAGTGTTCTAACCAGTGTAAATTTTTTTTCCATCATCTCTATTTTGTACGTCGAGCACCTGGGGTGCAACAATCCTAGGGGTCTAAGGGAATATGTCAAGTTGTGTTAAGTGCCTTTGCCAAGAGCACAAGATCGGTGGCATGTCAGGACTTGAACCCTGGACCTTTTGGTTCCGAGTCACGCACGCTGCTGTTGTGCCACACGACCACACAAGACTACACGTATTAAACTTTTTTCTTCCACTTACTTGTTATCCCTGAGTTTATTCTTGATGGTGGATAAGTCCATGGGTTTCTTGATGATTTTCCTGTACTGAGGGAACTGTTTAGTGTTGACAGGGACTAAGAAGGGCCAGGCATCTTCGTGCTTCTCCAGCTCAGGTAAGATACTCCTGGTTGGGTGGGGAACAAACAGTCTGGTCAAGAACACAAAATGGTTCGATGCTTTGGATAAAATTCTGTAAAAAGACTGTAAATTATACATGTGCAAGATTTTAACCCTTGTCCTGCTGGCATTCCTGGCACAATATTTTTCAATAATTTCATGTCTTAATTAGATCATAGACCCCCAATTTTTTTCCCTGCAGTGGCATAGTTACTTCCGCATTTGTTGCGTTTCGCTGCGGTGTGATGCGTTGCACAAGAAATACCCCCAAATCGTACCTAGTATACAGGGTGTTATATAGATGGTACTGTATTTGCAGAACAACAATTGTTGTGCTCCACAGGACAAGGGTTTTAGCAGACCACATGTTCTAAAGTTAAACTATCCTTTTTGCATATGCTTTTCTTTTCCAATTTGATGTATAGAAGCTAAACTGACTAAACAATATTTCTAACTCAAAGAACAAATGAAATTCCTGGTTTTTTTTATCATAGAAAACGTATTATTTCAACATGTTATTCAGTTACTGTATATTGAAAATGAAGTTATCTACTCCTAACCTGCAGGGTGCCAGGTCCTTGGAGGCTTCGTTCTTTGCCTTCTTGTCCTTCTTGTCAGGCACGTACATGGGGGAGGGACAGTCGTCTGACAGGCTGTTTCCTGCATCCTTCTCTTTTGTCTCTTTACTCTTCCTGTTCCTCCTGCCTTTGATCTGTGATGGACAGGTGTTCATGACAACAGCAGTGTTAGAAATACCCATCTGCAGTCTGCATTTTGCAGAGACAGTTCCAATATTGCAGAAGAAAAATTAAGCCATCTGCAATTTTGCAGACTGAAAAAATAAAGCCATGTATGGCCACAGTTTTGCCCAGATGTGTCACACAACCAACATTATCTTATTTCTAAACCCAGGCAGCACAGTTTCTAGGGGCAAAATTTAGTACTTTTCTTACTGTTATTGCTATATAAAAACTTCCACAAAGCTGAAAAGATTGTGTATTTGCAAAAAGTATTTGAAACACAGAGAAATTTTGTAGCAGTTTTTATATTCTGCAATATTGCACAACACTGAAAAAAAGTTACCACTGCAAGTTACATGTAGTTTACAGAGAACTGCACAGAAGAAACAACTGCAAAGTGAACTATGACATAAAATGATATGTTCATGATGAATATATTTGCACCTACAGACTTAAATTAACAACATTACAACACAAACCTGTTACCATGGTTACCAAAATGATTGACATGAAGGAAGACCATCTTAAAGATAGTTTAAACTGACCTAACGTTTTGAAACAAAAAGAAGGCTCAGCTTTATGAGATAATTCACCAGTAAAACTTATTTTGTGTGAAGCATTGCCACTTACCCCAGCTTTCAGGCATTCTGGACAAGTCCACTTTCCTCGTGGGGCCCTAAGACAAAACAAGAAAGAAAACAGTTAAAAATGGAAAACAATAACAATTGTAGACTTTTTCACAGACATCAAAACAACAACTACAGTACTGACATATTTGTCATCAGATAGGCATTACATGCTTAGCTTAGCTTAGAGTTTCAATACTGCTCATTAAACAGTTTCAGTTTCAAGAATTTCAAAGACACTATGCTGTCATCTTGGACTTACAGTAACCATCACTCCATCAAAATATCTAATGATGGTACAATGTATTTCTCAGGGGAATGCTTTACTCAACAAAGTACCAATAAGCAATTCAACAATAATCATTACAACTATTTGACAAGTCTGATGTAAGTTCTTGTGGAAGTTTAACCCTTGTCCTGCTGTCATTTTTTACACAAATTTTTCAAATAATTTGAAGTCATAATCAGGTCACAGAATCTTGACTTTTTTTGCCCCGCGGTGGCGTAGTCACTTCCACATTGGTTGCATTTCGCTGCGGTGTAATGCGTTGCATGAGAAACACCCCCAAATCATACATATACAGGACACTATATACTGTAGAAGGTACTGTATGTGCAACGCATATATACATTGTATATATGGGCCCCACAGGACAAGGGTTAACATGTGTACCAGTAACATATTCCAATATTCGACAATGTCTAACTTTTGCAGTAAAATCCAGAGTATTCTACAAATGTTTGCACAAGTGTACACACATGTAGTACATACTTGTTGAGTGGTGGGTCCAGACACTGGATGTGGTAGACTCGGGGACAGTGCTCACACCTGGCAGCTTTAACTGTCACCTTCTTCTCACACACCACACAGCACTCCTCACCAGTCGCCTGGCAACAGACAAACACGTCAACACGCATAAACATAATAAAGGTCAACAACTACTACCCTATTCACATGTCTTTTGCAGTTTGAATGTTGAAAGGCTCAAATGTTTTTTCAGCTAATGCTACAAAAACGTCTTATACACATATGTACAGTGTAGCTTAAAAGCTTACATGTTCTTACATGTACTCTCTATGCAGGTTAGGTGCAGGCAGTCTATGATTACATATGATACATGTGGATTTTTATTTGCTGCATTGAATGTTTCCACTTAATATGAAGTATAAAAGAAATGATGTTAATGGTTTTAAAAGCTTTTAGTATGATCCATACTTCTGAAAATCCAACTGGTGCAGGTAAAATTTCTCTGGTGTAGCTGTGCAGGTAATATTCAGTGCATAAAAAGGATATCAAGCCCTGTTCCCTATAGATTACATGAAGAGCACTAGACTATTACACATATAATGTGACAGTATATACTCACAGCTGCCACACACACTGAACAGAACCAGTCTCCATCTGGTACCACTGTCATCCTCGGCTACACACAAATATGGGAGAACACAGAGTCAGCACAGTGGTAATACATGTATATACAGATTGTGGGAAGGAAAAAGCAAGTTAACTCAGGTCACACATTCTGGTCATATTCCTAAAGCTAAACCCCTTTCTTCCACATGCAGGTTTGAACATAAACATGTAGTGCATAACACCAACAGACGTACTCTGACACAATTTCTACATACTATTACTACTAGTGTCAAGCAACAACATATGTACAGAGAAAACAATATTGTGCAGAGAAAACAGCATTGTAAACAGTTACTGTAAATTTTATGATGGTCACTACTGACTGAGGCCACATACAGCGTTACATAAAATGTTAACTGTGACCATTTTGGTGTTTAGTACCCTACCTTTACACAGTACGTGTGGAAGCCTTTATCACAGCCGTCACACAGAAGTAACTGGGCCTCGTTGTCTCCCTTCCGACAGAACTGGCAGAACTGCAAGGACAGAAACCATCCAGTATGTCAAGTAAAGGTGACACAGAAAGAAACAATGAAAAACTAACTCAAGCCTAGCTCATATACATATGTATGACATAAGTTGAAAAGTTGTATAGTACTTTAACATACTGATTTTAAAGGGGAAAAAGAGAGGTGAGAGTACACAAATGTATATCGAAGTCTGCTATTTTTAAATTGCACTGCTTTTACATGCAGCATATTACAGAATGATCCTTGTTGTTTGTATAAGTAGTTACATTTGTAGTTATGAGGCATTATAGAGGAAAAACTTTATTGCACGACAATTGTACATGCCATTGGTATAATGCATGGCATTATGACTATGACAATAATAATGATTGTACTGGTAGCACAAAAAAAGAAAAGGGTATAGAATGAAAATTAACATCCTAATTACTAATTCAGTTGTTTGTACCTACGATTAGCCCTCGGGCATGTATTTGCAATAAACTTTCGCTAATATTATATACTGGTGCAGTATTTATCAGCCATCTGTACAATAAGAAAATCAATGTACTTTTACAGTGTACATGTATACACAGAGACTTCTTAAACACTTTTTTCTGCCCCTAGACATCCTGAGACACATAGGTATACTGCTAACCCCCAGGGGAGCCACAGAAAGGGCGGGACTTGTACTGACCACTTTCATGATGGACTTGTCCCAGGCGATGCACTTCTCCAGCAGACCCAGGCACATGAACAGCTGCGGCGCCGTGGTCTCTGTACCAACCACATCCCGCCACACACGCAGGGCGTTAGGAATGTCCTCATCACTGTTCCTACAAAACACAACAGACATATTGTTACAGGGTAGAGCACACGTCTTGTGCTACATACATGTAGTACATGAACATTCACAAGTTTCCCATTCCCAGAATGCATTGCGAAAACAGGGGTCTAAACCTCATTTGCATAGGACAGGAAGGCATCGGAATGATCCTGTTGACATTAAACAGTTTGCTTTTCAGTGTGTTTAATTAAATTACTATGGGTTCATCTGACAAAAAATAGACAATGAATTTTTGTAGCATGTGTGGTTTGTCTCCATGTTAAAAAGAACAAAAAAACTTCATTCTCTATTTGTTGTCAGATTGGACCCATAGTCATTTTAATGAGTTTTAAGCATAAAATGCCCCAACACCTCAAAACACAGTGAAAAGCAAGTTGTTTAACGTCACCAGGATCATTCCGATGCCTTCCAGTCCTATGCAAATGAGGTTTAGACCCCTGTTTTCGCAATGCATTCTGGGGATGGGAAACCCGTGAATATCAACCTGTCTATCTGCCTTATCTCAATACCAGCTGGAGGCAAGGCTAGGGTGTCATGCATGGCACTACTCTGAATGGCTCAAATTTGAAAAAGCTGGGTCCATTGGTGTTGTGGTACCTCTGATGACATACATGAGCCATCAAACAACCCATCAATGTAACAATATACATGATGTATTTAGGAACAAAATGAAAAAAATAGGCAGGTCAGTTGCTGATATTTGTAGTTTTTTTTTTATTTAGGAAGAAAATGAAAAAATAGGCAGGTCAGTTGCTGATATTTGTAGTTTTGTTTTTTTATTTAGGAAGAAAATGAAAAAAATAGGCAGGTCAGTTGCTGATATTTGTAGTTTTTTTTTTTATTTAGGAAGAAAATGAAAACAATAGGCAGGTCAGTTGCTGATATTTGTAGTTTTTTTTTAGGAAGAAAATGAAAAAAATAGGCAGGTCAGTTTTTTTTTTTATTTAGGAAGAAAATGAAAAAAATAGGCAGGTCAGTTGCTGATATTTGTAGTTTTGTTAAAAAAAAATCTGAAACATTTTTTTCTGTTTTACAGTCACTTACATACATGAAGCTAGAGGTGGACCTCTTTAAGTCAGAACCTGTCACAACTGATAGTTCTTACCATAATTATACAGTAACAATGTCTCAAGGCTTTTGCAAGTCTAATGGTACTGCTTTCAAATTATATCAAACAAACATTATGTCAAACAAATGGTAATGTTACATGTACACCAACTGCATCAAAGGCACCTTAACACCAATGTATGAAAACCTTGTACACCCAGCTATAGGCATGTGGTGACAGTATATCTTCACTAAACGTGTACCTAGCAGAGCTGGAAAGAAGCTGATAAAATGAGGGCATGCAGAGTTAAGGTAGAACTAAAGTTGGGAGGACATACGGTGGTGTAGAAGAGTTGGAGTTCTCTTCTGGGAAGCCCATGGTGGCAAGACTTATCTGCACACTGGAACACAACATGGCAGAGACAGGCCTTCAGTTACTGTCTTCTTCTCTTTCTTTCAGTTTCTTTCTTCTTCTCTTTCAGTTTATTTTGTTCTTGTTTGTTTGCTTGTTTGTTTGTTTGGGTGCTAACGGTGATGTGACAAATGAAGGGGACTGTTCAGAAGAGAAGCTTCAGCCCCCGTCACACATTCAGAACCTTCTCCAGAACACCATGGCCAGTCGACTAAGTTTGGCTGAAGTTTGGGAGCAGTCGGACTAGATTTAGGCAACGCCTAGTACCTTTCTGTATGAATCAAACTGAATTTGTGCTAAATTTGAGTCAAATTTCACTGCAAACCACGCCTGACCAACTCCCGAACACTAGCCAACCATGGCTGAACCTCAGATCAAAACCTGAATGTTTGAAACTTTTGGCTACCGTAGACTAAGGCCACACCAATTTAATTTCTTGGTTCCGGATTTTTCTAGAAAAACAATGGAGTGGGCGGGCGAAAAAATAATAAAAACAAAAACAGGCCTAGGCATCCTATTATGGCCCAAAATGGTACGATAGGAGCCATGAAGTCAACACACCAGGCTGGTTCAAAATTCATTTTGAACTTTTAATGATACCATTGCATTGAAAGATGGAATAACTGTAACAACTAGGAAGAAAAGGATTGTTTTCAACTGTTCGGGGCAAAATATGAGCATTTTGCAGTTGATTCTGAATCTTTTTTTTTTTGCAAATCAGAAAAAAAATGAAGCGGGCAAATCCGTTAACCAAGAAATTAAATTGGTGTGGCCTAACACCAGCCGACCCTGCTCCAGACCTACTCCTAACCATGGTTGTGGGGAGTTTGGCTAGTGATCTGGAGGCCACAAATTCAGCTATGTGTGACAGGGGCTTTACCTTGGGAAGTCTAAGCAACGTAATGAAAGTTACGCACTGATCACATGCAGTTAGCAGCTCAAAGGTTTGAATCTGAACATCATCTTTCCATCAGAATTCCTCTAACTCACTGTTTAGAATCTTGGAACAAAATTAATAATGTGCCTCCAGCTGCTAAAGTACAAACGTACGACCTTACTCCTTATCAAAATCAGAATAAAAATGTTTAACCAGGTACAGAAGGCCAAGCTGTTTAGTCACAAAAGATTTTTAAAAGGTTTTCCAGAGACAAGTCCAAACAAGACTTTTTTCAAACCAAGAAAAAAAAACAAGAACTTTGAAGCACCAAGGTTTGAGGTAGCCTCCATAGCATGTCAAAAACTAGGGGTTTTGGGGGTCTTCATGGTCTTTGGGAGCTTTTATGTGCTATTTTCTGATTGCATATTAGACAACATAGCCGGCCTGGTTGAATTACCCCCTTTTTTGAACTGGGCTAATCAGAAAACAGCCTAAGACCACCAAACCCCCAGTACTATAAGCCTGCTACGGAGGCTAGGTTTGAGGACCATGAACTCAAAGCCTGAAGGATGTAAAGAGTGTTAGAAGAGTGAAGACTTACTTCTTGCTGAGCGGAGGTTTGATATATCTCCTCTCCAGGTTCATCTCCAGAGACGCTAATCTCTTCTGGGCAAGCTCCAAGGGTCGAAGGTCACTGTCCTCCTCAACTGTTGAGAAAAGATGACAAATTTTTATCATCAATTCAAAACAGTCAAAATGATTTTGAAAACAATCAGAATTCTGTTGACAAAGCAATGACACTTTTCAATAGGTAAGAAGATTAACATTGTTTAATTGTATTACTAATATTTTAAAATGTACACTGAAAGTGCTTCTGCTTTTCCGTGTAATATTGATGTTTGTATCTTACTTGATTTATCTGCATAGTCTGCTGTCATCCTTGGTGGAAGTTTCCAGCCCTGAAAGAATAATATAAATAAATTTAACCAGTTCAAGCTTTCTTCTTTTAGATGCAAAGTTTGGGAACAGCCACACACCACACGTTAAAGAACCCACCACGCCTTTTAAAAAAGAGTATACAGCAGGGGCATGCCCTAGTGTGATGTTATGATAATATAATACTAGTACCGGTATCTGAAAGTTGGTGATTTACTGCGGACTCAACGAAGAAGAATGTAAAAATCACAGAAATACACTAAATTCCTATCCTTCGGCAATGCTCCAAGAAAAGCTATCTGTCACCAAAAAGTCAAGACCATATCATGTTTAGGACAAAAGGTACAAAAACTGGAAGTTCTGCTGCTGAACCAAAAGTTGTCCTGCAGTACCAAGGTCAGACACCAGGAGGCCCACAATGGACCTTTACCTTTCTCTTTCTATGAGTATGACCTACCAACATACCAAATACCATCACAATCCAAAAAGGCGTTCTGAAGTTATGCTGGCTACAAATGTGTGGAAACACACACACAAAGATGGACACACACACACTGACAGGCCAAAAACAATACCTCCATTTTTCATGGAGGTAATAAAGAAGTCTGCATGCTGACCTTGACCTGTAGACTGGCCTGGAACACCCTCTCCTCCAGGTCCTCCACATCCTGCAGCAGGGACACCTCAAACTTGTAGGCCAGCTCACAGGAGTCCTGCTCCTGCCACGTCTCCAGCGCAGCGCCAGACCCGTCACGTACTGTCTTGTCATCTTCTACCTCCTCCAGTTTGATCGCTGCAGGGACAGAAAAACATGCTCGTGTTATGAAGCAATCATCTTATCAGGCCGTGACCTAAAAAGTAGTCGATTATTAGAATAACCGACCACTTTTTTGACGATTATACAGGGGACAGGACACTAACAGTAGTGTTAAACTTGAAGTATTTATCTATCAAACAACGTACTGTAATTTTATTTTGACTGATTTATTTTAGGGTACAACACAATTAAAAAAAGCATATGGATCCGTCCCGCACTGTCTTGTCATCTTCTACCTCCTCAAGTTTGATCGCTTCAGGGACAGACAAACATGCTTGTGTTATCATCTGTATCTGTATCTGTATCTGTATAGCCGGTATAACCGCCTTTCGGCATAACACACCAGCTTCGCAGGCACGTGGCGCGGCGGCAGCTGGCTATATTACACCGATCGACTTGTTACACCTAACCCTTGAACTTCTACATGTAGCTCTAGACATTGTTTAAAGCTATCTATTGACAATGCCCCTACTGTACTTGGTGACAGTGAGTTCCACTCTGTGATAGTTCTAGGAAAGAATGAATTCTTGAACACCTCAATCCTTGGTTGATAATTCTGGTACTTGAATGCATGGCTATTTCTTATTCTCTTCTGGGCTGGTATTAGGTACTTAGTAGTTGGGACATCCACCAGTTTATTAGTCATTTTGTACAACTGTACATCATGCATAGTCTGGACATCTTTCTTCTGTCTTCCAGTGAGGTCCACTGTAGGTTTCTTTTCATTTCTGTGACACTAGCACCTCTTTCATAGTTGTTCATACAGAATCTTGCAGCTTGATTCTGTACCCTTTCCAATTTGTCTTTGTCTTTCTTTGTATATGGATCCCATACTGTCACAGCGTATTGTGCTACTGGTGCTGTGTACCGGTTAGTTGGAACTACATTTTAGTGAAAAAATGGTAAGGTTCAAGTAAAAAAAAGCTAAATTTCTGGAACCTGTTCCAGACTTACAAAAAAATCCATCATGATGTCACATTCCCCCTTTTGTTTTAAACCATCTGATATCTTCATTAGCAAAAAATTTGTGCTGCAAAATGAAGAAAGCATTGTCATTGGGCATTGTCAATTGTGGGCCCCCATAAGTGGCCACAGTTTTGCCCAGAGGTGCACCGCAAACAATATATCTTGCATCTAAACCCTGGTAGTACAGTGCTCACTACAAAATTTTGTGTTAAAGATGCCCCATTTTCTATTATTATCTTACATGTAAATATCATGATAATAGCAGTTTAAATAGCAGTTTCAATGTGTGGTTGTGTAAGAAAAGAGGTTTGTAGTTCTGCAAGGATCTTACCATCATTTTCCCTGGCCTTCTTACAGCACTGGCATGCATAGTCGTTGTACTTCTGCAGGGATTTCTGCAGGATTCTCTCCCTGATCCCACGAGGGTGGAGCACCTTCAGCAGGGACCGGATCTGTTCTGACTCCAGCATCTGCCACCAGCCAAGAACCATTTCTGACAATGGGAAAAACATAATAGTTCAGGGCTCCAATTCTGGGTGGACAGTGCAGGTAATGTTTGAGCTGTATGTACAATGTACAGGTATTTCTGATCTGTATCTGTATCTGTATAGCCGGTATAACCGCCTTTCGGCGTAACACACCAGCTACATGTAATTGTCTATCTGATGTCTACCTGCACCTAGCCTACACCAGTTCATGCATGTGGATTTTTATTTGCTGCATTGACTGTGACCTGGCATTTGAAAAAGGAATACCAAGACCTTTGAAGTGTAAAAGAAATAATGGTGATGCTTTTGAGCAGTTTTTTGTATGATCCATACATCCTAAATTATGAGTGGTGCGAGTAAAATTTATCTGGTGCAGGTAATTTTCATTGTTTAATAGTGCAGAAAAAATATTTTGCGCTCTGTAAATTAACATTTATCTGCCAGGTTACATATATTGAAAAACACAGGATCTGTGGTGCAGTATTCCACCGGTACTAGTGTGCACAGTGAAGATATACATGTACATGTAGACGAATGCATCATATGGGAGGGGGGGTGCATTGGTGATCTCTTTAGATGCATTTGTCAGGGTGACAGATACATGTACATGTACATGTACATGTGCCCTGGTGGAATTGTATTTAATATGAATGTATAAACCATCTACACTTCATTCAAAATAAAGGTAACGTTGATGAGTAGTCACAAATTCATGAGAAGGTGAAAAAGGGACTGAACATTATATACCTTTGGGGATGGGTGCAGGCTCGACCTCGTTCATCCCCATCCACATGTTAGGTGCCATCCCCAGTAGATGAGGCTGGTAGGCTGAAGTGCTGGGTCCAGCCATTCTCTGGGCATAGAGAGCATTGATCTGGAAAATAGTTCAGAATCGTTTTTTAACAGTCTGTTACGAAAGGCTACAAAACCACATGTGATGCAGTCCCTGTTCCCACTTGGATAAAATTTACAGCTATCTGCTAAATTTGTGTACAATGCTAGTTACCATGGTGACAGATGTCTGGTCCAGTTCATTGACCTTATTTGTTTGGAGAAGAAGAAGAGGAAGAATCAGAGCAAAAACAATATGTTTTCCTTCTACAAAGGTAAGCATAAATTTTAAAATAGTTCTGCTTACCGAAGGAAAACATAATTGTTTTTGCTCTGTTTCTTCCTCTTTTCCAAACAGTGACCTCTGACCTGACCAACATGATTTGTTGACGTCTGTCACCATGGTGACTGGTGTTGGGTTACATAATGTTGCAATTTCATGGTCTGCTCTGCTCCTGTCACCATATACTAGTAGTACATGTATGTGAATGTGTTTGAGTAAGAATTAATAAAGCAGACCATGTCCGACGGTAAACATTATGCATTTGCTTTGCAAAATTAATGTTACTTCAATCTCTAGTTTGATTTCAATTCTGTTACATGTACCTGTTGTGCCCCTAGTGGAGACTGTCCGAATGTGGTGAAGCCGAACCCTGTCTGTGCACCCTTCATGTGTGGCGGGGAGAACGCAGAGTTCTGCACCACTGCACCCTGGGATACGCCCGGTGGCGACGGTTTACCACTCTCCACGTTCCCAACGGACGGTAGCTGTAACCTCGTCAGCGACGTCTCGTCACAAGGCATTCTGGGAAGGACGCTGAACCACATGCCGTCTCCGTTCATTTTGTGCGTCAAGCCTTTGAGAAGTTGGTCAGCAGTGAGAGGGCCGGGGGCAAATTGTATGGAGCTGGGCAGTGGGGACATGTAAGTGCCTAACATCTTCATGTCAGTTCTGTTCACCAGGGTGTCTATGTTTAAAAACCCACTGCCTGATTTTTGTGCCTGCAGTCCTCCTAGCCTGACCTGCTGCAAGCTCACCGTGGACGTGGCTGCCGTTGCATCGTGGGAAGTCCGCGTCTCCGTGCCCGTGGGACAGGCGTCCGGGTCCTGTTTGGCCACGTCTAGCAGCTCGCTAAGCTTGGACGGCTTCTGCAGGAACAAGTTCTCCGAAGCACCCTGAGACATTGCACTAGCTTTGGTTTCTTCCACAGCTTTGGAGTCGTGATTTCCACAGTTTTGGTCCCCGTTCTGTTTAGCAGTTTCCACATTGTTCTCACTCTTGACTACAGATTCCTCTTCCTTCTTAACGTCTTTAACCTCCGTGGAATTGTCCTTTGTTTCCTTGGGAATCACATTGTCTTTGCTCTCCTGTGGGTGAGAGTTCTCCTTGTCGACCTCCATGTTTTCTGGCTCGGCGCTCTCCATCCCTTCTACGAACACACCGCCGGCACAGGGCAGGACCCAGTAGCGCCGGTGGTAGCGGTCCTGTCCCAGACACAGGGCACGCAGGGAGTGGGACGCATCAAACAACTTGGAGCGGTACTGGGACTGTTGCTGTGGAAAACAGGGGGAGGCTACGGGTGAGCTTCATGTAAGAGTTGTACTGTAGACTGAGCAATAGTTATATTAGAAATGCTGCAATTGACTAATGATACAATTTTGTAACTGGTGCAGTAACATGTTTTGTTAGGTCCATATCATTGTTTATATTTGTGTGTTTGTAATTGCAGGGTTTCCTTAGAAAGCAATGATCAATGGTCATGAAGGTACTATCTTGCTTGAAGAACGTGGAAATTAAAAATAAAAATAATGTGACTTTTAAGTCTTAAAAGACATGCCATCCTGAACTTGCATAGTAATGTCAGGTAATTTACAATTACATGTACATAGATGAATTTCTTTTGTACTGAAATATTTTTTTCTGTATTGTCCCAAACAGTTAGCAGCAAAGTTCAATTTTCAAATTGAAATTTGTTTACCCTGTACTTTTCACAGGAAATGTCCTTACCTTGCTGAGCTTTTCTATCCTTTTATCAGTCTCCTCTACTGATTCTGGCTCAGCTTCATCCTGAAATGTAGTGAATGTGAACATTTTCATTCAAACCAACAAAAGCATATCAAACCCTTGACTGTGACAGTTATACAGTACAAAATGGTACATTTTAGTCAATACCTTTTACAACATTAATTTTCCAGAAATAAATTTCATAATCCATTTCATCTCTGAATTTCTCTCTTACGTCCACCTCCTTTCCCATTCAATCTTATCTCTTTTTTATTCCTGCCAATAAATCCTTCACTCTTCTTCCTTATATCTCATTCCCTCTGTCCATCCTTTCTTCTCTCACTTCAACATGTAAATTCATTTTCAGTCTAGCCTTCCTTCCTTCCGGTGCAATAGCTCGCTTTGTAACCGGGAGGTTGTGAGTTCAAACCCCGGCCGGGTCATACCAAAGACTTTGAAAATGGTACACACTTCTTTCTCTGCTTAGCACTCAGCACATATGAGTGTAGCAAGGTCAAACACACAGCACTACCAGCGGACTCGCCCCCTGCTGTAGTGCCCTGCACAACTGTGTGTCCAAGGGCTACGGAAATGGTCATGGGCACCAAACCCTATGCTCTGCACAGAGCACGAGAGACCTTCCTTCCTCACCTCTCCTTCTACATCCAGCCCCTCCCCATCCTCCTCTTCTTCATCCTTATCCTCATCTTCCTCCTCATCCTCCTCCATCTTACTGTCCTCATCACCTTTACTGCTGGCCTGTTTCAGGGGAGAAAATAAACAGTTTAACAATTGAAACAGTGTTAGAAATACCCATCTGCAGTCTGCATTTTGCAGAGACATTTTCAATATTGCATCAGAAAAATTAAGCAACCTGCAACTTTGCAGACTGAAAAAATCAGGTTAAAGGGTTTCAATGGCATTTAAGAGCTCTATAATATACAATCATTTGTCAAGTAACTTTGCATGTATTTTTCAAATTGCATGTACCTGGTAAAATGTTTGCAAACATGCAGTTTTGTATATTGCCATGGCTTTTAGACATTCTGCAATATAACCATTTCTACCACTGAGAAAGAAAATGATCTTAATCCAGTTTTAGCACAGTTAAGAGCTAATCTCCCACTGGTCGTGACATACACACGACAGAAGCTCCAGTAATGCTGTGTACTGGTTCACTGGACTTGGATCAGAACTTGTAAGAATGTTCAAGTCCAAAAAAACCTAAAACTCAAGAACTGAGTCCAGATTTATTACCATAAAAGACCATTTCACATAACCCTTTTCTTTCAAAACCACCTAAAACCTTCCATAGATTGCAAAATCTTTGCTGCAAAAATGAAGAAAACATTGCCATCGGGCATCATCAAGTACCGGCCTCCATGTTATGTGGTCAAAGTTCCACCCAGACAACATTGCAAGGTTGCCAACATGCAACTTTGTATATGCTATGGGTTTAGGTCCGCACTTACAAGTCTAGAACTGAACCTAAACCTCTGGACTTGAATCTGGACCTGAACCTAAATGTAGGTTTAGGTATGCAGCACTACGCTCCAGTTCCTAACATCTGTACATCAAAAATGGTCCATGTAAAGCATGCAGATTAAGAGACTGTTCCACTACCTTCCCGGGGGTGTTGGCAACAGACATGGTGCCTGACATGTTGCTATCCTCCCCCATGTTGGAGTTCTCGTTGGACATGGCCTGTCTCGAGTACGGCCGGTGGAACTTCTTGGCCCGGATGATGCGCAGTCTGGAAAATCAGACAAATTAAACATCTTTAATTCCTTACTAAATTCTTTATCTTGTTACCAGAGGAAAATCCTATGTTACAGATACATGTAGAGGACCTCCCAACATTCTTCAGACCATGTTTGGGAGTTAGTTGTGAGAAAGGTCATTAGAGTTTAGCATAATTTTTAGAATTCATTAGTGCCAGCCAACTACAAATTTCGGGAAAGCCATATTCTACACTGTCTTGGATGCGATCACTGTGCACTGGAGCAAGATAAGGATAGATTCCATGCTACTCCAAAACCCAGTAACTTTGACATTTTGGGTTCCAAATTAGTTGCTAACCTTTAGTTGTGGGAAGGTCCTGAATGTGTGACATCTTTAACGGCTTATAATAGAAAGATGTTTGTGTTAAGAATGTGTGAAGAAGCAACAAACCACCTACTTTCTGAGCTTGCCCTCTACAATCCACTTGTCCCTCCTCAGGTTGGACATATGTTCTATACTGCTGTCAATCTCACTGTAGGGAAAGATATCATGACAGTGATTGTGATTTAACACCTCACACCAGTATTCTAGAGAATTTCATATTATGCTAGAGGGAACAGCCAGTCTTCACTTTGTTTGAAGAGAAAAAACAATGACAAATTATGACTTCAATGGAGAGCTGTAATATTTTGCACTAAATATAAATAAGACATATTAATGAAAGTTTGTATTCTGTCTTTTTTTTCATATTTTCTCTCTAATATCAGGGTATGTATTTTACTTCCTCTTAAATGTTAACAGCGTTGACCTAAGATCCAACGAAAATCGTTAAAAATCTGTGCAGTACATTCTAAGGGCATGCTGTATGATGTACACTAAAACTTACCCTACTACAGCCCTGCTGCACAACAGTTCATTACAGATGAAGGCCAGGATGGCAGCCTTCTGTGTAGGAGAGTGGGCTTGGAACGGGATGGTCTCTAATCGCTGGCTCATCTGGAACATACAGTTCAGAACAAAACAATTAAAATATACTGTAGACTAAAACTTATCCTGGATATTGGATTGATGTATGATATTTTGGTAATGGTCAGCATTACATTTGAAATATGTGTTGTTGCTGTTATTCTTTATCTGTACATGTATATATGAGTCCAACAACAATGCATGCATGATAGGAGAGTCTGCCTTATAATTATGCTTTCATACCAAATTTAAAGACTGACCACTAAGGCAATATCTTCACCATCAGTGTTAGAAAAACTTTTTTTCAGTGTTCTGCAATATTGCAGAATGTCAAACTTCTGTTCTACAATTCAGAAATACATTCTGCAAAGACACAAATCTGGATCTAAACCCATGGCATATACTGTACTAGTGTAAAATTGCCATGTTGGCAAACATTTGACACGCAATTTGAAAAAAAGAATGCAAAATTACTTCATCAAATGTATATCATAGAGTCAGTAGTAAACATCAATGATCCCCTAGACTGATTTTTTTTCAGTCTGCAAAATTGCAGGTTGCTTTTTTCTTCTTCAGTTCTGCAATATTGAACATGTCTCTGCAAACTGCATAATGCTGATACTATTAGGTATTTCTAACACTGACCATGAATAATCATAGGGTATACAATTACATACATGTATAGATCAAAACTTATGAAAAGAGTGCAATTTTAACCATTTCCCTACTGATGGCACCAAGTCTGAATTGGTTCTGAGGTTAGTCTGCAGGAAGAAGGTTAAAGTGATCCAGAGTCTGGACTAACAGTGTTAGAAATACCCATCTGCAGTCTGCATTTTGCAGAGATATTTTCAGTATTGTAGAAGAAAAATCAAACAACCTACAGTTTTGAAGACTGAAAAAATTAGACTACGGGATCAATGGTGTTGGCCTCTGTGCATACATCTATGGCCCAGACGTGCAGCACAACATCTTGCTACTAAACCCATAAAGCGCAGTTTCTAGGGGCAAAATCTTACTTTCTTACTGTTATTGCTATGGAAAAATTGCTACTAAGCTTAAAAGATTGTGTATTTGCAGAAAGTATTTGCAAATTGCAGAACAAACTTTTGACATTCTGCAATATGGTAGAAAAAAATGATCTCTACTACTGACTAACCTCGTCCTGGAAGCCGTTCCTGCCCTGTATGAAGAGCCTGAGGATCTCAGACAGGTTCCTGTGGTCGATGTCTGCATCATGGAGGGGAACCCGCAGCACTGTGGCACTCTGGGGAGGAAACATACTGATTAGCCATAGATTTTCCAACTCAGGGAGATACATGTATGGCATACAGTATTCCTCATGCTTGGAGTTCTCTCAATAGACCCATTCCAGTTTCACGGATCGCATAAACTGTTTACGCCACATAGGGGGACATTTCGAGAGAACATCAATCTAGAACGCTGAAGTCGGACGCGGCTTGCGCTCGCGGTGTCCCCCCTGGCAGATCTTTCTTTTTACTAAAAGGTAGGTAAGTGTCTAATTTCTCGGTAATATATGCAGAAATGACAGGAAAACAGGCACCAACTTTGTATGGTGGCATTCCGTACAACAGTTTAAGGTTACTTTGTTCCGTGACGTATGCAGGTTATGCGATCTGTGAAAGGAACTTTCGAAATGTGCCCCGTAACGTTTCTATTCGAAATGTCCCCCCTGTGACGTAAGCAGTTTATGCAATCCGTGGAAGTTGAATGGGTCTATTCCCTACAAAAGATATGGAAAGCTCATATCAGGAAGCAAACAGAAACCAAAGTGTTTAAAGCCTGTACCAAGACCATTCTACTTTACAGCTCTGAGTCATCTAAGACACTGACTATGTGCATCATGTTGTATGTACCTGTACCTATACCTGTACAAATACATGTACAGGGCAGACACCACATTTGCGTTGCGCAGTAGAGGCCAAAAAATGGGAACACAATTGTAGTGCCTAGTTAATACCTTTGAAAATCCTTTTTTCTCTTGAAAGTTTTGGTCTATTTTGGAGATTTTCGGTCTGGAAGGCACAGGTAGGGTCTAAACTTTCCTACTTTGGTCAAGTTTGGTTTATTTCACCAGTTAAGTGGGCGTAGTGAGAGATGTGAGTGGTTAGGTCTTGTCTGGCCAGGCGAATAAGCCTATGGATACCATGGAAAATTACATGTAGGTCAAAGTTGAGGTTTTGTTACTATCATCAGCTCTGGCGGGAATTTGAGGTGGTCGATCCCCTGTTCCCTTTCTATTTTTGGAAATCAGACCCTCGTGGCTACCTGGTGCAGAAAAATTTTTGAGACTGAAGTATGGGCAAGTACTTTCATGAGGACTTCTAATAGTGTATTTAAGCATGTGTTCCTATGGCCAAATCTGATAGTACTGTCTGCCCTACAGTGTAAACGTACATTGTATCATTTGTCTTCAGTTCCCACATTGAATGTAGGGTTATCTTTTCACTAAGCTGGACATTCCCTGACATGTCTGTCAGCCTACCTGCATGCCTGGTATGACCCCGGGGTCCCTGAGTGCACACTGCAGCAGGTTAGCTAACATGTCTAACACCTCTCTCTCTGCCTCCTCCTCTCCCAACAAACCCTGCTGCATCTCATCCAGCGTTGGAATGTCTTTCTCATCTGTGGAGAGAGAGAGAGAGAGAAAACAACAAACAGTCAGTATGTGAGATATAAGAGGGCCTGCATGGGGTATAGTGATTACGCATTACGCAAAATTTTTGCAGCCGATTACGAACTACATTGTACGTTAAAGTCTCAGAGCTGATTATGACTTTATGCTTTGCGGCTAATGTACTATAATAATGATAATGATTATGAATTGAGTTGATTTTTGAGGAGGCTGCCTACAGATTATGAAGACTAAAAAGGCCTAAAGGTTTGAACCACTCACACCGGGAAGGTCCCCTACTCTTTTCGATAAGTGCGGTGGGTTCTTTAACGTACGTGGGGTGTGGCTCTCCCCAAACACGGGACCTCCATTTAACGTCCTACTGTATCTGAAGGACGTCCCTAACCAAAGCTAGGTACTCATTTACACCTGAGTGAAGTGAGGAAAGTCGTGTAAAGTGCCTTTCCCAAGAGGACAAGATCGGTGGCATCGGGCACATGTAGGATTCGAACCCGGGACCTCTTGGGTCTGAGCCGAACACTCTACCGTTATGCCACATGACCCCACTGTAAACAGATGTTCTAACATCACACTTTTTTAAATTGCACAAATTCATGTCTGTTGCTGTACTCACCCATGTCCAGCACAGAACCAAAGTTATGGAGGAACTCAAACACCATCATGCAGTCTGCAAAGGCGTTGCCTGGCAACTGTAACCCGGGGATACGCTTCAGCTCTGGTAGGGGCTGGGGGAGTACAGAAACTTGCAGTTAAGACAAGGTACATTTAAGTATGGTCAGTGTACAAAATACTTTTTTGAACCAGGTTGCCCGCAAAAATTAGGTTGCCCATCAGAATTGTAGGTTGCCCCACCTATAAGTTACTACTTTCCTCAAATTAAGTAAATGTTACATATATATTAAGCATTTGACAACATTTCTAACAGCCTTTAGTTAACTGATACTAGTAATAGCTATTAATACCTCAAAATTAAAAAGCATCTGCCGGCTACAGTGGTGCAAGCCAAGTGGGCATGATTTTGGGGGGGGGGGGCATTCTTAAAATTCAGGTAGCACACTGGGCTACACGTACCTACAGTAGGTTCAAAAATAGGTTGCCCCAAGTAAAATTTGGTTGCCCAGGTATTTTGCACGCTGATGGTCCATGAATAGTTTCATCAGGTTGGTAACTTACTGAGTAACGATACTCTTTTTACACAACCAAGTCTTTTATTCACAGCCGACATTTCGGTGACCGTCTGTCACCTTCCTCAGGGCAATTCTGACTGGTTCACATTGCACTGCAGCACAGGTAAGTATGCTAACTTTGGGTAGAAACTATTATTGTCAGCTTCTCTCCATTACACAAAACATCATAGTGCATTCAGTGTTTAAAGGAATCTGAACTTTCACTCTAGCAATGTACCATTTCAAAAGCAGTGAGACAACAGTAGCAGGGCTCAAAATACTGGGTGCATGTGCACCTTGGTGCACCCAAATTTGGAGCTGTGCACCCAATTTTTTTCTGTGGGTTCACCAGTGCACCTAAATATTTTTGTATGTATTTTAATTTTACATATTAAATGTATACAGTAATACTGGATATTCTTGGCATCTAAGTGTCAGAAAATCCTGTGTTGTAGTACTTGTTTAAGATTTTGAAGTTAGCTCCCATTTGAGGTTCAAGCTCAGAAGAGGCGCAGTAAGATCTGTACATTGGTTTTGTTTTATATGGTGCACCCAAAAAAATTTTCTGTGCACCTAAATTTTTAGGTTGGGTGCACCAGTGCACCTATTCCCAAAATTGAATTTCGAGCCCTGAGTAGCAAGGCCCCCTACCTTTGCCTCCTTGAGTTGCATGTCTTCCACAGGTTTCTTTAGCTCCTTCGCAATCTGCAACTCAAGACGACGTTGCTCCTGTAGAGTTGAAGATTCAAGTTCACAATTAATTTCTAACTCGATGTCCAAACATAATAATTGAATGATTGATTATTCAAATAATTTCAATAATTGATTTAGGCCACACCGCCTTAATTTTATGGATGACATTCACACGCGCATTGATTTTCACCTGTTCTAAAATAATGAAAATAAAAATCACCTCCTCCGAGGTTCTGGCCTGGCTCTAGGCTCTAGTTAGCGACAATGCCGAGCCGGTGGTAACTCTGGAGGACGGCACCCAGGCTACAAAACCTCCACAACTCAAGAACTTGTACGTACGTACAGTGCCGATTCATAAATTCCGCAAAAAGCCAGCATGTGCTGGCTTGTCGTATACGTCGCTATGTACAGCCTCAAATTCATTATACCAGCTTTGTTTTCCTGTGGTTTAGTAGCATTTTTATTTTTTTGTCAGAGTTTTTTTTTTATTCGCCCGCACGCACTACTTTGTGGGTATTTAGAGAATGTCATCCATGAAGTCAGTGTGGCCTTATGCTACAGAACAGAATATAGTACTGAGCGTCTAACAACATGTAGTTGATAGAACAGTTACTGGAGAATTGTCAGTTTGGCTACTCCACTAAGAAGTCAACAGTGTAATTCACTTCATGTTCGCGGAAGCAAAAGTTTGTGGTCTGAGAAAAATAGATGTGTTCATGTATACTTTTATGGTGGTGGCAGGTGCAGAAGGAAGAAAGCTGGTGAAATTTGTTCATGGTAATGATAAGTTTGTGGTGACAGTAAAAACCATAAAAGTATCACAAAAAATCGCGATGATCTAAAAACAAAGAAGATCTCACCATCTTTCTCTCCCTGGTGAGTTTTTTCTCCACCTTCTTCTCCTGTTTCATTCTTTCTCTCTCCTGGTAGAGAAAACATTCTCAAACATGTCAGTACATGTACATTTGTACCACTACAGGCAAAATCAACATACAGGAAAGCATGTTTACAATTATAGCTGCAGACACTTTTATGCATTGTATGCAGATGTCATAATGTACATTGAAATAGAAAGATAACAAATTTCTGACAGCATTTGGGTCAGATAGCTGAGGAAGACTGAGTGATTCAGTCGAAAATTTCTGGTGAGTCAAATTTTGAGTTGGAGAACAGTTTAATTTTTTTCATAATGTAATAATTACCAACTCAGATGAACTTTCATGCAAATTTCTGACAACTTGATCATAAATTCAGTTCATCCACAATTAATCTTGATGATTCCTGTATTAATATATATTACATGTATGATTATGAACAATTCTCTTCTACAATGCTCTTGTCAACTTTCCTTGAACACATAAAAAAAATGTTTTGATTGTTCCTTCTCTCATTTCTGTCATTCTCCCCCCCCCCCATTACTATTGGTATGTCCCTTACCTCAGCTTTTTTCCTGGCCTCCAGAGCTCTAACCAGCATCATGTGTTGTTTTCTTCTCTCCCTCTCCTGTAGGACCAACAAAACCTGTGTTAGTCCTCAACTTCTCTCAAAACTTATCAGTATTCTTGTGACGGCTTCTTAGCTCTGTGAAGGGATCGCTTAATGTGAGAAGAAAGAATAATATACACAGTTGCCAAGATTTTTTATTAAATCTTAATGCTAAATAAACTGCAGTAACACCTGTAAAAGCACTACATTGTACAATCCACATCTACATGTAAAGCCACACCTTGCCAGTCACCCAAAAAAGCCAACCAAATGGGCCTGTCTTTGTATGTTGCTTAGGAAACTACAACAGTTCCCTGAACAAGCAAAACAGAACCATTTTGTTGTGCAACATCCAAAAGACTGTGTTGACGTTTCACATTTATGTTCGGAATTAATGTAATGAAATATGAGGGCATTAAAACCATCCCTCAACAGAGACAGGGGGGGGGCGCCACAGACTTTCTGCAACCTGTACTGTACTGCTCACGGAGTCACGAGTTTTATAATATCTGTATGACATCACGGAAGCGGTGGATTGCTCATTCCTTGACAAAGACTGGAGTTGTACAGTCGAAAATTTGGGGGCTTTTTTTTTCTTCGGAAGGTCGGCTGTACCAAAAAGCGCCCTTGGAGCAAATTTTTGCACCGGCAAAAAAACACCTCTGCAGTTCCAACGCAAGCAGCTAGAGACACCAAATTTATGTCACTTCTTCCTTACTTTAACAGCTTTCTACCACATAAAAATCATGACTGTAGCATGTTTAAAACAGAAGATACAAAGCCCGGAAGGTCGGCTGCAGTACTAAAAAGCGCCGCTAGGGGGCGTCAAAAGTCAAATCAAGTGGCCCGCGTACTTTTTCAAAAGAGTAATGTCTCATGAGTATTTGTACCAAGTTTGGTGCTTGTATCACAATTTGAAAGATTTATTTCAGTTATCTGCCCCACTAAAGCAACTTCTGGACAGTTAGATGTAACAAAAAATTGTACATTCAGCACAATCTCAGATTGGATGAGATGAAGATATTTTCAACACAGTCTGAAGGATGCAAAGTCACCGCCTGTAAGCTTTACCAACATACCAGGAACAGCAGCTGCCTGCGTCTCTCCTTTTCCTAAAGGGTACGCCACAGAACAGGGTAAAGTGAGGGAGCAAAGGTCAAGGGTGCATTGTGGGTAGGCCAGGTTAGTGGGACACAAAAAGCAGCATTAACCAAAAATACTCAAAACATGCTTGCAGCACTTTTTGCAGTATTTTCTCTGCTTTAAAACAAGCTGCCTTGGTCTAACATATGGACTGCCTCAAAACCAACACCACTTCTACTTGAAAATTTTCATGAAAAAAATTATATTCTCTGCCAACTCTACATAATGTCCTTGCTGTAAACCATCATGAGTTAACAAGTATTATGCATGTCCTAAGGACAATTTTTTTTGTTCAAATAACCGAAAAACTAAGTTTGAAAAGCCAAATTTTACTTGTATACCAACTAAGTCCACAATACTGAAATATACCAGTATTTTTTTGTTATTTTTCAGGCAGTCCATAATACAGACAACACCAGACAAAACCTTACTCACCTGATTTTTCAACATGACTTGCTGTTGTCTTCTCATTTCCCTCTCCTGAAAATGATGAAGAAATGATTATAATTCCATTTCTGAGTCAACCTTTTCATCTGATGTTTATATAGTATACTTGCTAAAGCTTATATAGAAGCACAGAGAAGCAGAAGGTTGAAGGATAGCTGAGTAGGAAGTAAAGTAAGAAATCATCTGATGTTCACATACATGTACACTGTAGGGAGTCCGATGAGGGGGGAGGGGGGCGTTAGCCTTAATGACAAAATGGGATTTCATTAAAGAAAAGTTGAGTAGAAACAATGAAACAAAAAAGAAGGATAAAGAAGACTTCAGCTGCTTTTGATATGCAAAAAAAACTCAGGTTTGAGAAAGGCATCTGGGTTGAAAATAAATGGAGTTAAAAAGAAAATAACTGCACTGCAATGAACTTATCACGAAGCGTAGAGCTTCAGCAAAATCAGTGAAGCTTCCTGAAATGTTTTGCAAGCCGGAACAAGTCGTACAAGTCAAAACTAACAGTCAATCATAATCACAGCGCCAGCTAAGCAGTGGTGAGGGGTAAATCACACAGATACAACACAGGAACACCTAAAGCACTGGCTCAAGGGTTCGTACAAGAACTCATTAATTAACTCCTTCAAGACAGAAAAGATGATTAGGCAAGGAAGATGTAGCATTCTGGTAATTGTGTGTCATCATTTGAGGCCTGTGAAACAGTCTCTTGTACGTATACGTTGAGTTTGGTCCACTGCGTTGTACGAGATTTTTCTTTCCTTCCTTTGCTGGTTCACACCTTCTTTTTCTTCACTTTAGACCGCAAAGATCATACTTGTCTCCCACTATCCTGTAGTTCCCAAATTGGTAACCCTTCTGTACATGTACTTATAATTATGCACAGTATCTGCCTCATATGGAAATAGACATTTTCAACAGTCACTCCTACATTTGTACTCAACTCATTAACAATTTTGCTCTCTACATGTTTTGCACGATTTTCATCGCAATTTTAAAACTGTACGAACCCTAGACAACAAAAACACTCACAAACCAAACTACACAAGCCACCAAAAAATACCACAAACAGGACAAAGGATCAACACTAACATTACCACTGTGACATCTACAAGCAATAACTCAAGGGGGAGATGCAAGGATGGAAAGCGGCAGCGGAATGGGGTGCCGAATCATGAGCTATCTTTCCTGCAGCATAGCGGGCAGCAAGGTAACACAGAAACCAGGTTTGCCTCATGGTTGGGAGAATTTGGATAGAAGTTATCTTCTCTGAAATACACTGGTTTTGAATGAAACCACTCATAACAGACAGTACCAGTTTAATCTAAAACAGCACAATGGAGTATAAATTAATGATGTGCAGTGTATATGACATTAGAAAAGACTAAAAGTGTGATTATCACTGACAATCTTCTTGGTTTGGCTTCACCAACGAAGACAAAACCAGTCAGTGAAGTAACCATGTATCGGGCCCCATGAGGCAAATGAGGCGTTACTCCAAGGGTGAAAGTTCGAGTGCGTACCAGCCATCCCGTGGTAGCGAACGAGGGGCATGCGAACGTTTGCACGTGCACGCCCGGCTGCCAGCATGCTGCAGTGACAGCAGGAAACTGAGTAGCAGTGGAGAAAATAGTCCAGTTCAGATAGAGTTAAACAAGATCAAGAGCTGAATTCTCCCCAGGTGTTAGACCAAAGCAAAGCACTTCTGTGAAAGATGTAAGATTAAGTAAGCATGTCATATATCATTAAGAATGTCATAGTCGGAATAACTTAGATTTCAATACACACTCATATATCCATAGGTTTGAGGTAGGTGTACCCTATTTTGTCAGTATTTTTGTCAGTATACAGAGATACAAACATTTGGTATGTTTCAACATGAAGTTTGGTGCTTTGTACACATGTTAATGTCAAGTTAAATAAAGAAGAAGCATGGGTAAATAAATCATAATAACACTACAGAAGTATGGGTGAACCATAAAATATGAAAAGTGTCTTTTTTAGAATCTAAATGTGTAATAATAATGTGTATTGTCTTCTGCTTTAATGATCATACAATTACTCACAGTACACTGTGTATATTACATGTACGTTACTTTTGTAAGAATTATATTCCATAGTACAAAAAACCATAGCAGCGGCTATTTCTTTTATGAAAAAAAATTTAACGGCACTCAGTGGCCAATGTGCAGATGTTGTCACATCGGTGCACCAAATCTGTAGGGTGTTTTTGGCACCCAGACAGACAGATTAGCCTAAGAGGCTCGGTGGGCGTCACTCCACTGTACATGGTGGGGAAGTCGTGTAAAGTGCCTTTCCCAAGGGCACAACGTCGGGCCACAGTGAGTATTGAACCCAGGACCTCTCAGTTCCGAGTCCAACGCTCTAACCGTTGCGCCACTGACGCCACTATTTCTTTTATGAGATGATCAAAAAGCCTAGGAAACAGCAGAAAAGGGTAGTCTGCTTGACTGACCTTTGCCACCTTTAAATTTCGAAGTGTTACGGTTAACACAAAAACAAGCTAACCCCTAACATGGCCACCAAACATCACAAAACAACATGACCAAAAAAAGGACATAAAGAAAGACCAGCAACTGATTTTACTCTGTTGAACCATTCAATATTTCTTATCATGGTACATACTCGTATGTAACAACTTTTTTTCAATACACGTACCCATTCAATGTACCTAAAACTATAGTCCGGTTGCCAAACCCCCGATTTTTGGAGAACCTTGCAATGCGGTCCATACAAAGTTTTTTTGTTGTTTCTATATCTCTGAGGTATGCTCTTTCAGAATCTGAATGATGCCACTCTGTCATCCTTGGGCAATTCGCACAATATGCAAATTAAGGTGGCCATTACTGAAAATCCAGTTTTCGTCAATATTTCAGTAACTACTCATGGTATCAGAATAATTTTGGTGTCTATCCCCATCTTTTGAGGGATAACGAATTAAATCAAGCCATTTCAGTAAAGATAGAACCACTATTTTTTGCTAAATATGCAAATTTGGGCCGCGCAATATGCAAATTAGGGCGGCCATTACTGAAAATCTGTTTTTCGTCAATATCTCAGTAACTACTCATGGTATCAGAATAATTTTGGTGTCTATTCCCATGTTTTGAGGGATAACGAATTAAATTAAGCCATTTCAGTAAAGATAGAACCATTATTTTTTGCTACATATGCAAATTTGGGCCTTGTCTGTTATTAACGCATCTGGCTGCCAGCAAGGAGGGGTCCTAATTCCGACCCATGTTCCATGCAAACGCACATGCCTTGGTATAGTTTATCTGACCCAAAACCTGTTCAATATTGAAAGACAATTGTAAGTTTACTTAAGTCTAGATGGCAGATGTCTTCTAGCATGAAACGCCGCTTGCGTATGATTGTAGACACTGGCTGTTGGTTAGCTCTGGGACATATATCTGTGTTGGGTATGAAGTCCTGTCGTCTGATGCTTAAGATCTTCCTCACGCATTCACTATCAGAAGCATCCAGTGATTCCAGTCTCTTTTCTCTTTTCTTGGCTGATTTCCACATAGTAGGTTTCAAAGCCAAGCTGGTTGAAGGCTGCTGAGGCCTTTCCAAGTCTACAGTCTAGCTCATTGTCCATCTGTCCTTTGTTGTTGATGGAGCTCCCGAGGTAGGTGAAGTTCTCCGCCACTTTCAATTTGTTCTCGTCAATGGTCACACTTCTAAGAGGAGTGTGTGTCCCTATCAGCATGTTAATTGATGGCTCTGATGCTGAGCGCAATGCTGTCTGCAGACGGACTATGTTGGTCACTAGGGGTTGGAGGTCTCTGGCATTTTCCGCTATGTCGTCTGCAAAGTCAAGGTCGGCAAACTTTGTCTCTGGAACCCACTTTACCCCCCTTTTCTCCTGTTGCTTCCCAAGTACCCAGTCGATAGCCACGGGAAAGAGGATCTGTGACAGGACACAACCTTGGAGGATCCGTCTTCAAACCACCAGCTGTATCTAGATTCCTTCAACCGTCCGTACGTACACAACACTTCGAGTTTCAGTATATCTGTTTAACTGCATACATAAGTTTACTTGGCAGTCCATAACTGTACATGATAAAGAGGGACTTTAGATGCTATCAAACGCCTTGCAGAAATCAATGAATCTGATAGCTAAAGGGGTTTGCAGTTCAGCACATTTCCTCCACCGCAGGGTGAAGATCTGCTCAGCACAGGATCTCTTTGAGCGAAAGCTAGCTTGTAGCTCGCACCTCCCAGAGGACCTTGCCTACTGCATCTCTCATGCGGTTCAGGAGGCATTTGTATTACACCTTCACTGGTACAAAAAAGAATTGTCACTCCCCTTAAGTTATCACATTCATTCAGGTTTCCCTTCTTTGGAATGCACACTTTAAGCCTATGTCACAATTCAAGAAAGGGGCCCGCTCGGCGCGTTTTTGGCCTGTGTTTTGGCACTACCGAATTTGGAACGGGACCTGAAAGGCAATAGGCGGGGTTCCCGACGGCTGCCGGCCTATTTTTTGGCCCCGCGACGTCGCCAAATTGATTTGACTCAAACTTAAAATCACTTCAGGCCCCGGCGGGCAAGGTACGCCGAAGCGACCCCGTAACCTCACCGGACCAAACCGTAACCTAGCCGCCGGGTCACGCACAGGCACCTGTCCAAGATTATGAAGTCACGTGTGCTGTTCTGTGCTTGAATTGTTCAGAAGAAGGTAGTTATAGACAATATAGAAGGGTACTGTGCTATTCTCGACATTGTTACATCATCAGTCAGTCATAGTGACCATACACGGGTCTGCGCATCAACCAGCAGGGCCAAACCCACCATACCAGCCACAGGCGTACCAGCCTGGGACCTGCCAGGATCGCCCCTTGACCCCGCCAGGGACCCTGTAGCTGCCCGGCCGGAATGCAAGAGCTTGTCGGCACCCTATCGCATCCCGCACGGGTCTGACAGAAGACTGACTGGGCACCGGACGGGTCCCTAACAGAAACCGGTCGTCAAGGGGACCAAAGTTTTGTGAAGTTTAAATAGAAGCCGCCTCAGCGCCCCGACAGGGAGCCGTAAAGGAAAATTCAATTGTGACCCTGACAGCCGGCGTACGCTCGGCTTCATGACGCCGACCGGCGTCTACACCGAGAACATGCCGAGCGGGCGCCGTTTCACATGTGACTCCAGCTGAACTACTGATCCGTTCTTCCATTCCTCCAGCACTTCCCTGTGATCGCCGTTGAATGCCTGCTTTATTCCAGGGAAGGCGTACTAGGGAAGACGGCTATGGTTCTATTAAAGCGTTTGCGATGTACGGCGATCAGAAAAGCATCCATCTCACAACACAGTCACCCTCGGCTTTCAGCATCTCTGAAGTGATGCCATTCATGCCTGGTGACTGACTTCAGCTTCAGAGATGTCCTCGATCTAAACAGGTAATGGGTGTAGGTGTTCATCAAAGACTAATGCTACTGAGGTATGGCTTGAGCTGTTTAAGACTTTTTGAAAAGTATTCTGCCCACCTGGCAAGCTTGTCCTCCCCCTAAGACAGTGGTAGGGTCCCATCCTTCGCCTTAATTAGGACTGTGCACTTTTGAGCGGCCGCTGGTCATCTTTTTGGAGATCTGTTAAGCTTTGGTCCCAATTGTAAAAAAAAAAAGTCCCTGGCGGGTAGTTCCCGGGCTGTTTTTGACACTTTCAGGCGTGGGACACCCCGCGGCTACCGGGCTATTTTTTTGGCCTGTCCGGGAATCAAGAAGAATTCAACTCTGACTTAAATTCTACACGGGCCACGCTGACATAAAATCCAGGACGTCAAGTTAGCGCTTTATTCTGCCTGTACACAGACGCTGGTAAGGCACAGGTGTGGGCTTATGAAGGGTCTAATATTTTTTTGAACAGATTGTATCATTTATCAACATTTCTATCAGTGTTCAGAGGTACAGGCGTCCATGCTATATACTGGTTAGTTTTTGCATAATTTGCATTAAATTTTGGTGTGATCAGTACTGGGATGGTTTATTCTGATTATCTAGCCTTCAAAACATATATGTATAGTATGTGTATTGTATCAAAATTATTGTTGATACCATGAGATCTATTGAGATATTGACGAAAAACAGATTTTCAGTAATGGCGGCCTAAATTTGCAAATTAAGCACAAAAATATCTATTTGATCTCCACTGAAATGGCTTATCCTCAATAGTTATTCCAAAAAACATGGGGAAAGACACCAAAGATATTATAATATCATATGTAGTTACTGAGATATTGACGGAAAACAGATTTTCAGTAATGGTGACGTCTGATTTGCCTATTGTGCGGCTTTAATTTGCATATTCAGCAAAAAAAACGGTTTGATCTTTACTGAAATGGCTTAATTCCATTCGTTATCCCTCAAAACATGGGGATAGACATCAAAATTATTCTGATACCATGAGTAGTTACTGAGATATTGACGAAAAACAGATTTTCAGTAATGGCCGCCCTAATTTGCATATTGCGCGGCCCAAATTTGCATATTTAGCAAAAAATAGTGGTTCTAACTTTACTGAAATGGCTTAATTTAATTCGTTATCCCTCAAAAGATGGGAATAGACACCAAAATTATTCTGATACCATGAGTAGTTACGGAGATATTGACGAAAACTGGATTTTCAGTAATGGCCACCTTAATTTGCATATTGTGCAAATTGCCCAAGGATGACAGAGTGGCATCATTCAGATTCTGAAAGAGCACACCTCAGAGATATAGAAACAACAAAAAAACTTTGTATGGACCGCATTGCACGCTTATCGGTCTCTGCCACCAGACTACTAATGCCTGTGCATGATCAGTCACCATTGTTAAGGAAAATGCAATATTTACAAAGAAACGTGTTAATGTATTGTGACAAGGGAGAAGTAAGGTGTTGCACCCTAATGCACAGTTCAAGTGAAAGCCATATAAAAGACCTTGCTGAGCCTTAAGAAAGCAGCTTCTAGCTTTGAGATTTTCAGTGTCTTCACACCTCACAATTATGTGATTTCTTACAAATATCACCTTAAGCCAAACTTGTAAGCAGTTATCCAAGGGGTTAATATTATAACCAAACAAGTCTGAATGATTATTGGTGATTTGTTGTTAGTTGGTGAGAATTCCACACCTAAATCAGGTAAAAGAAAAATCAGAGAGGGATTTCCAAAACCAAATGCAGAAGAAAAAACCAAACCGAAGGAAAACCCAAAATTGTTGACTTTCCAACCTTGGCCTTTTTCATGGCTTCTTCCAATCTTTGCTTGTCTTGAAGTTCTTTCCGTTTCTTTCTTGCCTGTGCATGCAAAATGACTGGTTACTAGTGATCTTCTGCCTTCTACTAAACACAGTACTGTATACAGAACTACTGTCACAAATACCCAGTAACATTAGATGATCCTCAGAAAGAATCATGAAGTATCAAATTGAAAGAAAGTGAGAGAAATCAACAAATTTGATACCTTTCATCGTTATCTTATTTTTGTGGCTAGTACATGTAGTAGTACACAGTATACAGATTATATAATATGCAGCTCTTATTCCGCACACAGAGACGCCATAATCACAATTATGTTTCCTTGCTCCAAAGCACAGACAAGAAATCTCAACTTTTAAGAATAAAGCTAAGTTTTTCATAGGCCAACTCATCCAAAATATGACAGTCACAAAATGCCTTGAAAGTGCAATGCATTTCATGGGTCTATCTTGTATTCATATATTTTGGACAGCATGTTTCCTATGTATATACTGTCTGTGCTTAGGCCACACCAATTTAATTTCTTGGTTAACAGATTTTTCTAGATAAAAAAATGGAGCGGGCGGGCGAAAAAAATAAAATAAAATAAAAACAGGCCTAGGCATCCTATTATGGCCCAACATGGTATGATAGGAGCCATGAAGTCAACACACCAGGCTGGTTCAAAATTTAAACAATGAATTTTGAACTTTTAATGATACCATTGCATTGAAAGATGGAATAACTGTAACAACTAGGATAAAAAGGACTGTTTTCAACTGTTCAGGGCAAAATATGAGCATTTTGCAGTTGATTCTGAATTTTTATTTTTATTTGCAAATCAGAAAAAATGAAGCGGCGAATCCGTTAACCAAGAAATTAAATTGGTGTGGCCTTATGGACAAGGAACAAGTCATGTTACAAAAATATGCTCTGACACAGTACATGTAGGTTATGTTCTGTAGTACTAGTAAGTCAGGCTTCAGAAGCACAACAATGGTGTAGTACACATGTAAAGGAAGAGGAAACTGAGATACCATGAAGATTTGTTGAGCCACTTTTTGCCTCTCCTAGTGCAGTGGTTAGTTGTGGAGAGAGACAGAGAGGAGAGGTTAGCATGAGGTGGAAAATAAATTGGGCAGAGTTTGGTGTTCCAAGACCGATGACGACATCAGAACTACCACTGTTTCGGCTGTTAGTAAAATAAAATGAAGGCACACCAATTGTTTTATCTAAAATGTAGTGTTTTTTTTTCAAAATCTTATTTCAAATTCCTCATTTTGTTGATAAAAAATAAAATTAAGACACACCAATTTTTTTATCTACAACTGTAAGGTATAGTTGTTTCTTTCACAATCGTCTTTCAAATTCCTCCTTTTGTTGATAACCTTTCAATCCTCGTGGCCTGGAATCTGATTCATTACATCTTTTTAAAAACTGAAGAATGTTTTTGCACATCAAGCCTTCAGTTGGTGGAATTAACCAAATGCCTTCAACCGAAATTCATAACATAAGACCTTTCATCAAAAGTAGACTCTTTAACCAGGTGAAAATTAACTGTTTTGACTTTGAAACTCATGAATTTGTAGCTTTTCTAACTCTTATACCAAGTTGCTCAATACACATTGAACAACACATACATCAAGATTAGTCTCCACCAGACTCCTTTACAGGCTGAATAAATAATCGAAATCAGTCTTAAAAAGAGAATATAATTGGCAAGGAAAGATACATAGCCAGTAAAGTAGGACAAATTGGCCTATATTCTTCCATGGCCAATTGTATTCCCCTTTTTAGGCCACTGACAATTTATTCAGCCTGCAAAGGAGTCTGGTGGAGAGCGTATATAAACTAAGATAATAGGGTTTAACAAATACACTCAACAAGGGCTTGGAACAGCAGATTGTGTAACTATGAAAAAGTGTCAAAGAAATAAGGAGTTATGCAGCAAAGAGTGACATCTAAAGAGCATATTATGGAATAGTGAGCTGTCACCATGGCTAGAGAGGGTGGTCAACACTCTCACTGGAAATATCACAACAGGCAGGAGAAAAAAACAGCTTTCTTCCACTGTACACTGTTGATGTCTATTTTTCTTCCTTTATGAAAATTGTGACATTTTTTCAGTGGTTTTGCAGTTTTTGCAGTGCCTTCATGCGAAATCACGACACTGTGAAATTTGCCAAATATTTTGTACAATAGAAGTGTTTCAGCTACGAACTTCAAAAACTGTGAAACCGTCTTTTTCCATAATACCACGAAATAAAACCACTGCAAAAGTACATGTAAATACATTTTACAGTATTCTCCACCTTTTGAGGACTGTGGTTCATAATAAGATGGGCCGAATATCAGAATAACTCAATACAACAAATTCCAAATCAGCACATAACTGTATGTTATGTTATATCTTACAACATAAGATACATGTACATGTATGTCTGGGAGGATTCTGTTGACCCTAACATCAACCACTATACAAGGAAGAAAGCTGATGCCACTGGAATGGCATTCATCTGTTCAGTCAGAAAGGAAGTTTGCACCAAAAATATGGAACAAAGATGTCCACACAAAAACTTACCTTTCATGATACCTGTTTAGTTCCCATCTTCAGACACCACAAACGTTCTAATCTATGCTTAACACTTTAGTGGATTTTAAGTATTCTTGACGTTTAGTTGAAGTACTGTACATGTAAATGTATCTTTCGAATTCACATACCTCTCAGAATGTACAACTACATTTGTAAAACTGAGTTATCACGCAATCATCTGTGTACCTTGTCTTTATTATCAAAAGGGGTCTGATAAACTACTTATCTGATAAATCAGATAATATTATCGCAGACAGGGCTGAAACTACATTGTGGGATGGTCTCAAATGTTTGAACTTTGCTTTCATTCAAAATTTATTTATTACAGTAAACATAAGTTACTGATCATCATCACATAACGTGTGTTGACCGAACGCACTTCTTTAATGCACCAATTAATGGTAAAATTGAGTGTAAGATTTTGGGGTGAACTGATGTCGTTTACGAACAAAGTGCAAACGTTGAGACCATCCCTGAAGAAGACGAAGGCCGGTACGTACTTCCAAGATCTGCCTCTGTTTCATCTGCTTCTGGAGGTGGACTTGGACTTGATACTGCATGGTCAAGGGCAAATGAGGAATGACCTTCAACTCGGCAACACCAAGAAAAACAAGCTTGTTCCATCAACAAACAAAAAAAAACAAAAGCTATTCTACACATGAGGGGGGAGTTGTTGTGTGTGTGAATCATACCTTTTGCAAAAATAAACCCAGAAAATTTTTCAGTTTGAAAGTTTGGATAATCCAATGAAGTAAACATGAAATGAAACGACCCATTTTACTCTTAATGTGGTGACATCATCAAAGCCTGTGCACGACTAAGCTAAGATTTCAGAAGAGTCAGTCTTTCCACCTGAGGTTTTTTAGACGTACATGTAGCTATAACTTGTTTTTTTTTTCACTTAAGGCCACACCGACTTAATTTCATTACCAAAAATAAAAATGCTACTAAACCACAGGAATACAAAGCTAGTATGATAATTGTGAATTTGCGGCAGTACGTAGCGTCGTATACTAGTATGACAAGCCGGCACATGCTGGCTTTTTGCGGAATTTATGAATCTGCACTGTGCGTATGTACTGAGTTCTTGAGTCGTGGAGCTTTGGTAGCCTGGGTGCCGTCCTCCAGAGTTACCGCCGGCTCTGCATTGTCGCTAACTACATGTACCATGGACTACCCAGGCCTAGAGCCAGACCAGAGCCTCAGTGGACATGATTTTTTTTTTTGAGAGAGAGCAGGCGAAAATCAATGCACGCGCAGATGTCATCCATAAAATTAAGCCGGTGTGGCCTAACTGTTAAAGAAATTGAACCTACTTTACATTGCATACTACTCTATAATTGTAGGGCAAAATTGACAGAGTTTGCTAAATTTGATGTCTGATAGAAAAAAATCATGCAAAAGTTTCCATATACTCTTAGATTTGGGCCAGAGTATGTGAGTGAAGTGAGCACCTCATTTGCCCTTGCATGCATTCACTATACCTCATTTATATAGGGAAGCTAAATACAATGTTTGTAGAGAAGGAAAATATTCTGGAAAAAATTATCCTTTTTTTTTTTCTTTTTTTTTGTGAGGGAGGGGGTACATGTACATTGTGTTACATGCTCCTGGAATTCTTTTGTTTTCTGCTAATAAACCATTTTGAGTAACAGACACACACAAACTTTTGTGACCTTAGTCAAACCATAATCATGAATATATACAGAGTACATTAAACACTACCAACTTGAAGTCACATCAGAAAATTCTGCAACTACATTGTACATGATCTGTTCACACTGAGGACCAAGCACATATCTTTCAATCATTATTTCCCCCCCCATCAACAAACATAGTTGTGCCCATGTTCACAGAAAGTAAGCTTTAATAGCATTATTTTGGACTGAACCAAGTTAGGAATGAGGTGTGTCCACCATACCTCCATGAGTTGCTGGGCCTTCATCTCTTTCTCCATCCTGATCTGTTCCAGCCGCTGCATTTTTTCCTACAATAATAATAAATTACCCTCACTTAAAAACATACTTCTTTACATCATTCTGCAGTCTGTGCTATAGTATTGTACAGTACATTCCACACAAGAAATCAGAGATTTCAGAATTTCCGAGAAGTCCCAATCTTTCAGTATTTGGAATTGTCAGCTTCCTAAATTTTCCTGTAATTCTTGCTGATTTTCAGGCAGATTCTGAGACCTTTGAAAACCTGTCATTCTGCTTGTCAATCCATGTACATGTCTGCACAAGCATACACACAAACCCACTGTTCTGCCACTCAAAACCATACTTCTATACCCAGAAGTAACAAACTTGACTTGTAAGGTACATAACGTTATGTCTAAAAAAACTGGTTTGTTACACTATAGAGGATCATACTGGAACATTTAACTTTTGTACATACTGGGTAAATTGGCACTTTAACATGATGTACTGTAGGCCATAAGAACATTGTCTGAATTTCTAGGACCTGTCTGAATTTTTAGGACCTACCTGCTGTTTGAGAAGTTTGATTCTTTCTTTCTGTCTTCTCTTCTCTTCTGCTGCCATCATTGCTGTAAACACAGGAAATACATGTACATCAAAACATTCAGGTTACTCTCAGTCAAACAAGAGGAACACAGACTGGAGCGCATACGTGTATATATATTACCAACATACAGTTACTATTCCATGTTCTATTATTTCAGAAGTTTGAACCACCAAGACCACTGTATTATATTATGATTTTGAGTTGCTTATTTAATTATAAATGTATTGACTTAGATGTAGTATACTTGTTTTCTGCATAACAAACCATTTTGAGTAAAACCTAATATGTAGTGACCATTTTTAGTATATCTATGTTTAATCATTATTATATGTTCCATTACTTCCTTTGTATTTTACATTTTCATAGGATCCCTTGGAAATTGGCCGTTTTTGGTTGAAGGGACAACCCACGCATACCAGGGATCAATAAATAGATAAATAAAAATGGTCACTTTATGAATAGCAGGAATTTTTTTGAAAATACTTCAGCAGTAAGGCTTCATTTAGGTACATCTGCAGTAATGAACAGTAATTAAACTACAACCTACCCTGTTGTCTCTTGGCCTCCTTGGCAGCCTGTACTTGAGCCTGTTTCTCAATCTTCCTGCGCAGCTTGGCTTCCTGTACCCGTTTGGCCATCTCTGCAGATACAAGGGCTGAAGTCCATAACATGTCATATTTTGAATGTGCTGGGGGCATGCCATAGCAAAAAAAAAGCAGCTACATGAAACAGATTTTCTACTTTCTACTCTGCTCTACTCAAAACAAAATGGAGAAACATAATCATAGAAACTTAGACTTGAAGACAGAGGTATTCTTTATCATATTGAACAAGAATGTATTCTGGCAAGCCACCATCCTTTAGGTAGCATCTATGTGACAATACTGCCTCCTGTTGTTTATAAAAGGAACTGCATGTAGTATTCTATGTGGTACTGTTGAGACGGCACAACACAGTTTTAGCCCTATGGGGATTTCTATAGTTAAGGACCCCAAAGTGACTCACTTCGGCTCACTGAAAATCATAGTAGGGTGCACAAGCAAGGTTCCGCATTTTGATATGTCTAATTTCAGGGTATGGTGTACAAAATATGTGAAAATGAGCTTAAGTTTGCCGGCTAGTTCTCTTCTCGCGCCCTCTTTTATTAGCACCACTGCGGAGGTCATGGAACTGCAGCCGACGCACAGTACTAGGCGGGACAAGTATCCAAGCGCAAATCTACGCCGACTGAACACACAGCATAATTCAACTTTTACAGTCTCAAAACTGACGTATTCCTCTAACATTCACCACAGGTCTCATCTCGATGCCATGCACAGAACAATTTCTCTAGTATTGTGCAGCACTACATTGTGCCCAGACTACTTTTCACTATGGCCCATAAATACTGTGTTGTGCTGCCTTGAAACCATATTCGGTAGCATTTTCATCACCCACCTTGTTGCTCCATCTTTCTTTTCATCCTCATCTCGACGGCCTTCCTTGCGAACTCTTGTTGCTCCACCTTGCGGTCGTCTCGTTTCTTCAGCTTGTCGGAGGATGGCGGTCTGCCCCGCCGGACGCCGTCTCTTGTTCGCTGCAAGATTTGTTCTTCTGTTAGGAGCACATATTCTGTTCCCTGGAGGGGAGAGGTCAGAGCCCAAAGGTCAGAGGTCAGAAGAAGCCCAGAATAAGAAGCACGACGGCAGAGCGTACTGCATCTGCACGAAACCCTGATTTTTCAAGGTTTTTGTTGGTCAATGTTTTCATGGTTTTTGTCAATGTTCTCATGATTTTTCATGGTTTGTCAATGTTTTCATGATTTTTCATGTTTTTTGTTGGTCAATGTTTTCATAATTTTTCATGGTTTTTGTCAATGTTTTCATGATTTTTCATGTTTTTGTCAATGTTTTCATGATTTTTCATGGTTTTTGTCAATATTTTCATGATTTTTCATGGTTTTTGTTTGTCAATGTTTTCATGTCAATGTTCAGAATTTTGCCTGTTGCAGAAAAAATATTTTTTCAACACAACATTTTGAAACTACAGGATGCTAACCCTACATGATTGTGTATATGCGCGAATACGACCTTATATGAGACGTTCTGCCAAAGTGCTATGCATAATACATTACGGGTTTCGTGCAGGTGCAGTACGTTCTGCCAGCGTGCTAGAATAAGACCTTGTATGTTTTCTAAAGTAGGTGCCACTGAGTAACCCTCTAGTGAGCGAAATTCTTCAACACTGGTGACCTTACATAAACATGTTACTGAGACCGTAAAAAAATCAAGACAAAGCAGAGAAAAATTGTTAGTCAAACCAAAACCCAAAAGCATAATAAAGAAGAAAACAGAAAATGGCCACGTACAAGTATCAGTTCAAACATAGAAACATTTTAATAATCATACACTTATCAACAAAATTCATCTCATACACTTATGTAGCACTAATGTCTGTGATTCATCACAACTGAATGTCAGAAAAATCTATCAGATTAATGGACAGGTCAACTAAACTTTGTTATATGATTAACTCCAACTGTTACATGTACATCACTTTTTGAAAATGAACAGATCTGTCTACTCCCCTGCATCATTATAAGGCCACACCAATTTGATTCGTTGGTTCTTGCATTTTTTCAGAAAAAATGAGGCGACAGGGCGATAAAAAAATAAAAATAAAAACAGGTCTAGGCATCCTATTATAGCCCCAAATGCTACGATAGGAGCCATGAAGTCAACACAAAAGGCTGGATTAATATTTAAACAATGAATTTTAAACTTTTAAACAAACATTGATATATGACAAGCCTGTAACAACTCTGAAGAGAGGGGAATTTTGAATTTGATTTTAGAGGCTGAAATGTTTTGTTTTTTTTTGCAAATCAGAAAAAAAACTAAGCAGGCAAATCCGTGAATCAACGATTTAACTTTGTGTGGCCTTAGGAACCGACAATGTTAGCCATTTGTAAGTCGGACATGACTGGACAATGTAAGGTTGACACAAGGTTAGTCCACTCACATTTGCACCGTTCCTGCACTCAATGAAGTCTCCAATGTTTGTCTTAGGGCTGAAGCTGAAGTTCTCTCTAGTCAAGTCTGTGATGCCACATCTGTCCAGGTACTGGGTGGGGGGAAACATCATTATCACAACAGCTCTTCATATTAAAACATGTAATCAGAAATTTCAGGAACTACTTTTGGTTTACCGACTTCCGGGAAGTGTTTTTGGGAATGTGTTGGAAGTAGGGGTGGGTACCTGTATAGAAAATTCAGGTCCAGGTCCAGATCAGGTTCAGAGGATCAGGTCCAGGTCCGGACCTAAACCTGGACCTGATTATTGTACTGTTACAGTAGTACTATGTATATCATATTTTGGAGCGGGAAACACGAGTACAGGTCACTCACTAGTGTGTTACATATTATGTTCAAGTTGTACAATTTTGTATATTGAAGCTGAACACAGTTACAGAAAGAGACAAACATGGATTAAGGCCAATCTAGTTTAATTCAGGGTTATTTTCTTTACCTGTCATGGCCAGATTATCTTAAGATGTGCGTATAATCAGGCCCAATGACCCGGTTTTCACATTTCTGTTTTTGTACTCTGTTCCCGAATGTTGTTCTGGTTTAAACAGGTCCGGCTTAAACAGGTCTGGTTTAAACAGGTCCCCTATAGCTAGTTGGAACGGTGGAGTGGATTGCATGATGTAATTTAGTCGTGTATTACACTACTCCCTCTTATGCCCACTTACTCCCTCCCAGATCACCTCCAGGCCTGACCTATCAATCATCTGTCAAAATCACCTCCCACCCACACTGAAGCAATTCAAACAGATGGACAACCCACAACTCAGCCACGCAAAAATACATATACCTCTGCACCCAGAAGTAAAAATAGTCTAGTTTCAGTCTTTCAAAAATTACATCAAAGAGTACTGGTAACAAGATACTGGAAGGGAAAAAGGCATGCAGAACATGGCTGCATCAAAGAGCATGACTCACCCTCTGAACCTCAGGATAAGTACGTAGTTTTTTCCCACAGGGTGCGAGGTAACACACGTCACCCTTGATCCCTCCTCCTGGACCAATGGCTCGGATTCTGGTCTCCCTTCTCCAGCTGAGATAGAATGAGAATAAAAAATTCTTTATTGAATATTCCTGCCCTGGAGGGCTAAATGCACAGATGACTACTAGTACATGTGATGTAACGGGTATGAAAATACCAAAACCTAGTAACACTAAAACACTCAGTCTATGCACTAATATGCAGTGTAACTGTCTTGTAAATCTGTATTCTTATGAACATGAGATGTTACAACATATTTTTTCCATTACATGATCACTGTCCCCAAAAGATAGATAGTAATGTGGCCTGCCTTGCCATGTTAATTGTTAGGCATGATTTTGACATGTCTTCTACAACTTGTATGTTCTAACCAAGTAATAATCAAACAAACTTGACTCCTAGCTCCACTTACCCATGTTCCAAGGGTATTCTAACTTCCCTCAAGTCGATGATTCTTCTTCTTTTTCTAAAGCCTGCAACACAACAAAATTTATTCATCATTTCAATTTAATCCAAGCTCAATTTGATAATTTACTAACATTTTGCAACTTTTTTTGCAACATGTATGTATTCAGTATTATGTATAGTAAATATGCACACACTGCATATCAATTGTTTTATTGCAAGCTCATGCCTGAAGGCTAATTTTGCAAATACAACAACTGTTACAACAACAACAATAAGCAATTATATTACTTATTTAGTAACTAGACACGATAAATAAAAGCTACAGTAACTGTAACTCCTAACAACTACTGGGTTTCGCTTCTTTTTTGGAGACAGAAGAAGACAAAAGATCCCACTTTTTCTGTAATGTGTGCGTTTTCGGATGTTAAGAGAAGAGTAGTTTTCTTTTCATCTGTATATGTGTGAAAGTTGTGGTAGAATTTTGAGGCTGCGTCCATACATGTATATGTATGCTGACCATACATGGAGGTAATGTAGAACCACAACTACTCCTTACCATCATCAATGTTGTTAGGTATTGCCACATCAGCAGCCCGTTTGACACTCTTGGTAGGTGAGGGGGTTTGTGCAGACTTGGTGGGCGTGGCCGTGGACTCGGACGTCTCGCTGCTGTCGTCATCATCATCATCGTCATCATCCGAGTCCGAGTCCTCCTCGTCATCATCATCACTATCATCCCCCGAGTCGCTGTCGCTCGACTCCTCCGTCACCCCGCGGAACCGCGCGACCAGCGGCTTGGCCTTCTTCTCAGACCCCTTGGAAGTGGAAGGAGAAGAAGATGGGAGCTTGAAGGTCTGTTCAGAGAAAAGTGGCATCAGTTCAGTGCACATTTCATGAGTAGATCACACTCAGATAGTGCTGCATACCTAAACCCAAATTTAGGTTCAGGTCCAGATTCAAGTCCTGAGATTTAGGTTCAGTTCCGGACTTGTAAGTGCAGACCTAAACCAGGGCTTGAAATACTGGGTACATGTGCACCTTAGAGCACCCAAAATTGGAGCTGTGCACCCAATTTATTTCTGTGGGTGCACTGGTGCACCTAAATATTCTTGTAGGTATTTTTGTACATATTAAATGTACATAGTATACAGGATATTCTTGGCATCTAAGTGTCAGAAAAATAATAAAACCTTTGCCGAGGTACTTTTAAGATTTTGAAGTTAGCAGTTAGTAGTTTAAGGTTTTGAAGTTAGCTCCCATTTTAGATTCAAGCTCAAAAGAGGAGCAGTAAGATCTGTAATCAGGTTTTGTTTCATATGGTGCACACAAAAAATTTTCTGTGCACCTAATTTTTTAGGTTGGGTTCACCAGTGCACCTATTCCCAAAATTGAATTTCGAGCCCTGCCTAAACCCATGGCATATACAATTCAGCCTTAATGGCTGCAAAGTGATGGCAATGCATACTGTACTATTATTGTGTTGTTAGACTAGCAGTATCGACATGCCCCAGTGTGCCATCTCACCTGAGGGTGTATAATTTTGGAGTGGCTAGCTGAAGTTGATGAGACAGTCTCACCTGAGGGTGTATAATTTTGGAATGGCTAGCTGAAGTTGATGAGACAGTCTCACCTGAGGGTGTATAATTTTGGAGTGGCTAGCTGAAGTTGATGAGACAGCTGCCGACTTGGACGTTGCTAACAGCTTGCTGGTCGCGTTGGTCGCTGCACTGGTGGATGATGATGATGATGGTGTGCTCAAGGCCTGGGCCCGCTTCTGGAGCTTGTAAAGCTGCTGTTGTTGTTTGATTTGTTGTTCAAACTGCAGCTTCAACTGAACAAAAAACATGTCTTTGGTTAACCTTGAAAAACAAGGGCATGATAGTATCTGGAACTAGTCATGTTTACCTTCGCTCTGTTTCTTCTTTTCCAAACAAATAAGGTCAATGACCTGAACCAGATGTCTGTCATCATGGTAACATAATTTGGGTTACATCATGTTGCAATTTTATAGCAGAAGGGATTTAAACTGCTGTTTGATGCTACATGTAACATGCTAATTTGATGCTACATGTAACATGCTAACAGCAATGGAAAAATACTTCATTGCACCAGGATAAATTTTATGGATTTTGCAGTGATAAGTAAATAATTAATGCTATTATAATATTATATAGTTTCAGTGAAAAATATGTTCTCAGTAAAAGCCCTGTATAGTACAAATACTGATAGATAATACGAATGACATTTATTAATAATCTTATCATGTACAGTACAGCTTGCGTTAGAATTAACGGGTAACGCGTTACTCACGCGGTACTCACGTGGTAGGTACGCGGCATTTACGCGGTACTAACCCGTCACAGTAACGCGTGAGTAACGTATTTCATGCGTCCGAGTTCTGCTGAAGCTTACTGCGTGAGTCACCCGATATCGCCGCATTTTATGGTGTGTGATTAGTGCCCCGCCCTGGCCCCGCCTACACGACGGCTTTACCGGTGCGAAAAGTCTTTATATAATTCTCACCTGTTTGAGTTTCTCCTCCTCTTCCTTTGCTCTCTGCTCCTGTGTCTGCTGACTCGGTGATTTCTGAAGCAAACCTTGTCGTCAGTATTGGGTGGTACATACCATACATCATATGACACAACTTACCAACTCTCAGCATGGACATGTTGATTTGAATAGGCCACACCAATTTAATTTGTTGTTTCTCAGATTTGTCCAGACAAAATATGAAGCAACAGGGCGAGTAAAAAAAACAAAACAGGCCAAGGCACCCCATGAAGGCCGGAAATGTTACAATATGAGCCATGAAGTGAACATACCAGGCTGGTTTATAATCAAAACAACAGATTTTGAACCTTTGATGTAACGAAGTAGCATTATTACATTGAAAAACTTTAACAACTAGGAAGAAAAGGACTTTCTTCAACCGTTGGGGCCAGAATATTGCATTTTGTAGTTGATTCAGAGCCTAAAATCTTCTCTTTTTTTGGCAAATGGACAGGGCGAATCCGAGAAACAATTTTCATCCATTTCTAAAAAGACTATGCTATAAATCATACAAAGCCGCTACAAAATGAGGTAACATATGCTGAAAATTGCAACAAAAATATTGGAAAACAACATTATTGTCGTAGAGTGCCAAAATCAAATTCCGAAGGAAAAGAAGAAGATGTGAAGAAATGAAAATGAAGAGTTTATCATTCGCCATACCATACTCTGTGTGTTTAAGTCATCTGTTCAACCTTTATGACCACGTATATTTCATAATGAAGGCAACGTTTTTTGGCGAAATTTTTTCTATTCCCACACTCACATCAGTTCACAGAGGATGTCATCCATATAATCAAATCAACAGAGCCTAAGTAATGCCATCCTTATTCCCCATACAGAAGTTTTGTCAGGGATAATAGGGACCCGGTGTAATTTCCTATGATTTTCATGTTAAATGTATGCAGACAATAATGATGCTTTTAAGAGACAATTTCCATGCAAATGAGTCTGTCTACCTCGGTCTATGTGAGAAGATGTGAATTATTGATAAGACTTTTATGTACTCTCACCTCTCGAATAAAAGTACCCCCTGGAATAGAAGTACCCCCCGGACAAATCTTCAAAATCTAATAAAAGTACCCCCTGGAATAAAAGTACCCCCCGGAAAATTTAAAAATTGACATGTAAGCAACGTCTATGCTCCAAAAATGTGTTCTCATGGTGTATATATATATGTGTGCGTCTGTATGACCTTGTCACTTGCAATTATTGACAGGTCCTGAATAAACATACCCCCTTGAATATGATTCCCCCAACAAATCTTCAAAACTTTATAAATATCAGGGATCTCCCCAGAAATTCAGAACAGGGTGGAGGAGGGTGGTCTGGAAACCCCCCCTCCATGGGGGGAAGCTATTGCATTTTGTCTTTTCCAAACACAAATGGAGGTCATTTCCTGCAACTTCAGTTCTACATTTTCTGTACAATTGCAGATGTATAAGGCAGGAGAAAGGTTCAAGATTTAAAAAAAAAGTTCTATTAGCACCCTTAATTTTGAAAAAATTGGGCATAGGTTCCCCGGATGACCCCTAACCGGGGGCCAACGGTGCTTCCACAAGTTCAACAAGTGAAAAATACATGATACAAAATGTACATGTATTTACTACCTGGAACTTGGAGCAAGTTATTCCAAAGATGTACTTACTGACATTAATATATTAAAAACTAAACCAAAATCCTATTTCCCAAACAAATCACATATTGACACAGCTGAACATATAAAAATAGTGATCATGTCTATAAACTCCACTCAAAACAATTTTTGAGAGACACTCGGGTACTAAGCGTGATAATCTCTAATATCTCATCTGATTCTCCCAATGTAAAGGATCTTTACAATCACAGCATCCAACCGCACATACATAGAAACAACAATATTACACAAGAAACCAATAAATTCGGAAAATTTCTCAGTAATGTTTGAAAATTATTCTTATTAAAATATAAGTGAATTTTTATTTCAGTTGTAGCCGAAAAAATATTTTTCATGCGTTTAAAGTATCGTTTTAGCACTGTAATATGTACTTAGTACATGTCTTATACATTTGGATGCTATCTTGACCTTTGACCACTGTTATTGTAAAAAGCAGGTCGGCCATTTTGTCTTTCTCGCCGTGGCTTTTCGAGCCGTTTTTTCGAGCAAATTTCAACCATTTTAAACATTTTACGGCCTCAAAAACTCATACAACGAGGAAAACAATTTGTAGCTGTCATTTTCATGCGTAACATTTCTTCTGGGGATGGTTTATTTTTCCGCCGAGCTGCCGAAAACTAGCGTCAAACCGCAACCATGCGGTTTCTTCGCGGCGGCCGGCGGGAGTTTTTGTATCGGAGCTTTCACGATGTAAACAAAGATAGTCGGAGTTGTTTATCTGAAAATTTTGTTGTGAAACGCCAGCGGGGTGTCAGATTTTCTACTAATGACAACGTTTTCTTTGTGGCGTCATGGCGAGATCGACAATTCATCGACAATTCACAGGAATTTGTGCCGACAATGGAATGAATTTTCCCGGAACTTTTCCGATTTTGAAAAAAGAAATAAACGTACCGTCTAAAATAAGAATGTACCGGGTGGATTTTGAGGCGAAAAAAAATAAACGTACCGGTACGTTTAATAGAGAGCCGAGAGTACATAAGCCAAGCAAACAAACAAAAGTGGTGGATAAACATATTTATCATCCAAATCTCGACTGCCTTCTTTAGGCAACACCACTTTAATTTGTTGGTTCTCAGATTCGCCTCTTCATTTTTTTCTGATTTGCAAAAAAAAAAGAGATTCTGACTCTGGATCAACTCAAATATGCTCATATTTTGCCCCCAACAGTTGAGGAAAGTCCTTTTCTTCCTAGTTCCTACAATTTTTCCATCTATCAATGAAGTGGTTTGATTAAAAGTAAAAAATTCTAGTTTGAATATTAACCTAGCCTTTTGTGTTGACTTCATGGCTCCTATCATAGCATTTGGGGCTAAAATGGGATGCCTAGACCTGTTTTCATTTCTTTTATTTTTCCCCCATCGCTTCATATTTTTTATGAAAAAATCTGAGAACCAACAAATTAAATTGGTGTGGCCTTATCTACAAAATCTAATTTCCCCACCTGTTGAGACAGTAGTTTCTGTGCCAGCCCCTCGCTGGGTTTGGTAGACATGAAGCTTTGTTGGATGAGCTGTTTGGGCTGCGATGTCTTCTCCTGGGAGATTTTGGTCAGGACTGGTGGACTGAGAGACTTCTGCTGTTCCTCTCTCTGTTTCTGCTGCAGACTGTGTTTGATGGCCAGCTTGGCTGGACTCCGGATGGGGCGAGGGCTGGACTCAGTCTGGAGAAGGTTCAGACTCCAACATTAACCCCCCGTAAATAATTTCATCAGGTTGGAAGATACTTAGGGTATAGAATTTTCTTCTTACACAACCAGTAAGGTTCTCACCTGCTTACGTTTCGATGTCAATTAGTCACCTTCCTCAGAGCTTCTGACTGGAGTTCTGCAACTTGCATTCTCGTCGCAAAAGCGCCACCTACTTTGGCGTTAAATAGCGGCGAGTTGCAGAAGTCCAGTCAGAAGCTCTGAGGAAGGTGTCTGATTGACATTGAAACGTAAGCAGGTGAGAACCTTACTGGTTGTGTAAGAAGACAACTCTATACCTCAAACATTAACCATTTTATCTACGGCCATGTTGATTTGATAATATGGATGACATCCGCGCACACATGAATTTTCAGCCATTTCCAAAAAAAAGTTTTTGACCATACTGTAAATCGTACAAAATAGTTGCAAAATGAACAAATATATACCGTAAGTTGAAAAAAAAACATTGGAAAATGACACCTATGCCAAAATCGAACGAAAAAGACTAAAAATGTAAAGAAATGAATTTGAAGACTAGATTATTTGCCAAAACATACTCTGTGTCATTTGTTCAACCTTCAAAACCACGTACATGTAGATTTCATAATGAAAGCAACTTTTTTTTGCCAAACTTTTTTTATTCACATTTTACTCACATCAGTTTTGAGGTTCCCAGAGGATGTCATCCATATAATCAAATCAGCATGGCCTAACTGCCATCTTTCTAGTAAAAAGAACATCATTGAGTCCACATTATTTTTCTGCTGGACAGAAAGTTTCAACTTTGTCCTATCAAGAGAGGTAAGGCATATTATTAAAGTTCAAGAATTAATGCAACTGTATATGGATGATTTTGCTTCCACATAATCAAAATGCGAAAGAAGTGGGAGCAATGTTTTATAAGTATGTTACTAGGGACATTATTCATACATGTATTTTAAGCATTTATTCTATTTTAAAGCCACTGAAAAGCTCTAATCAGTGTTAACATCTGGAACTTTTCCTTTGCTACAAGTTGACAAAGGCAAGGCTTACAACAGGACACTTGTTTTTCTCATCCAAATGATTTTTTTTATCTGTAACTATTTTTTTACGTTTATTCCTGAAATTTGGCCACTTTTGCATTATCTACAACATACATTAATTTGTACTTATATACATGTACCAGCATTCAGAAGCTACATTTTTGTATAACTGTTACATTGAACCTAACCATTCACTAAAATGCCACCAAGATACATGTACTACAAATGGTACAAGCAACCTGAGGCATTAAAAACATGCTTTATAACATCATACATGTATGAGAAAATTTGGTCATGCATGTCTATGAGAGACAAATTCCACCACTGCAGACATTTGATGAGCTGGATTGGACAGGAAAAAGGTATTACAGGGAAAAGGCGTTACACTTTTTTACAGAAGAAGTAATGCCATGCACAGCACCACACCAGCAAAGCCATAGACAGGACTGAAGGAGTTGAGTTCTTAAAGCCTCGGTCACAACCCGCCGTACGTGCATCTGCTTGCTGTCTACGTGCCAACCGTAGGGCATCCGTGGGTGGTGAGTACTGCCTCCGTACGGAATGATCAATCCTACGGATTTGGGAGCACGCAGACCTTTAGTAGAACTTTTAGTGTATGTAAAACTTTTTCTATTGTGCGGTCTGCGGATTCACAACCCATACGTGCGAGTACGGGCGACGAGCGTGCCCCGTACGTACCGTACATAAGCAGCACGTGTGAGTACGGCCTCCTTACGGTAAAGTTGCAATTGCACAGAGATTGTACGTTGTAAGCACGTACAACTCACTTACCACTTGCGCAACGAACGATGCGCGCAACCGCTCACGGCCAGACGTGGCGTGCAGACCACACTCTTACACCTTGCACAACCGTGCGAGTGACGTGTGTCGCTGCCACTTCTGCCCAACGCTTTCAGAAAAACGTAGCAGACGTAGCCCCCAAAAAACTTACGGACAAAAAAGCATGTACGGCAGGTTGTGACCGAGGCTGCAGTTAGTCACTACTTTTTTTTCTCCTTTTACCATGCGGCTACGGCTGTTTCTCAGATTAGTCTATATCACCACAAAGCCCAACATGCTGCAAGCTTCCTTTTGTACCTTTGAGTCAGAGCTCGTTGTTGTCACGGGTGACAACTTGGGCGGCAGCAGCAGCCCCTGGGACTGAGAGTGGGGTGGAGACTTGATGACCTGGGAAGGAGACTGCTTCCTGAGCAGAGCCTCCCTCTGTTGTTGTTTTATTTGCTCCTGTTCTCTCTTCAACTCTTGTTCCTTTTGTTTTAGCTGTTCTTTTAACTTCTTGGTCTGAAATCACACACAGCGTTGTTGTTTTTCCTTCAGAAGTACTTATTTTGTACTGTCCCTAAATATTCATTATCTTCACTTGAAGTATTGTAATATTTTACATCTAACCTACATTTTATACCATATATTTTTAGTTCGCTGACCTGAATCGGTAACATTGTTTGTGGCTTTTTGCACACACTTTTTCACAAATTTGGGCATCAAAGTTTTAAGTTGCTTTTACTCCATCTTATAGCAATGTGTATTGACATGTAAATTTTGTCAATCATCTGATTCTGTCATGTTTAATCAGGGGGAAAAAGTTTTTAAGTACTACAGGCATCGTGTGCCAGTGTTCTAGCTAGCGTCCGTTTTTCCATCATTTCGCAGAATTTTGCTGGTTGTGACTGACAAAAATTATGCCCAATCATTGATCTTTGACAGACAAACGTTAAAATGTAAAAAGATGTTATTAAACTATCAGCAAAATGATGAAACTATTTTTGGTTTTATATTACTACATGACACACAAAAAACAACTGACCTTATCTGCCTCCTCCCCCTCACTATCCGAGGTGTCACTGTCATCAGAGTCACTGCTGATTTCACTGTCACTACCCGTGCTAATGTCTGAATCACTGTCACTGCTCGACTCCTTGTTATCTTTTGTTCCTTTCTCCTCTTTTGGAGGTTTTTCCTTATTCTTCTCTTTTTCCACTTTTTTGATGACCTGGAAAGTAAGAAATGATAGTCAGTGTTAGAAATACCTACCTGAGGTCTGCATTTTGCAGAGATATTTTCAATGTTGCAAGAAAAATTAAGGAACCTGCAATGTTGCTCATTAAAAAAAATCAAGGTAGGGGTTGAATGGTGTAGGCATAATGTTGTTTGAGAGCTTTTGTGTTTTCTGACTCTATAATATACTAGTAATCTTGCATGAATTTTTTAAATTGCATGCGAAATATTTGCCAACATACAATTAAGGGTTAATGACCCGCCCCGAGGTGAATGTGGTGTGATAAAGCCTTGTCAGTTGCTATAACCACCGAATAAAGCCACCGAGTGAGCGACAGCTATATGCAGTGTATATGCCATGGGTATAGGTGCACACTTATACATGTATGCATGTATTTGCAGAAAGTATTTTAGAACTGCAGAACAAAACTTTAACATTCTGCAATATTACGACGAATAATAGTGGTCACTATGCAAGCCATGTTAGACTTTTTCCACCATCAGACTATCAATAATAAGTTTGAAAGTTTATAAAACTGATTTTTGAAAAAAAGATCAACATTGTTTTAACAACTAACCATACCCTTTCTGAACATAAATGTTGTGATGCCTGACATCAAACTCTTTTTTACAATGAAACAAACCAATGCATTACTATCAGGAACAGTTACTATAATACATAGTATTACATAGATCATCTGTTGCTGAAAAAAAGACATTTTTTAAATAATTTGTCAGTACAGGTGAGAGTTATACATAAATTTTATGATGGATACGGTAAATTTTATGTAAGTTTTATTGCAAATTCATGCCCGAGGGCTAATTGCATGAACAGAAGAAACATTTGGTATAAAAAACAGATAATTAGTACACATAGAACTACCGATAACTCCTAAGAAACTACTAGTAAAAACTACTGAATTTGACTTCTTTTTTCAAGACAGAGGAAGACAAAGGATCCCACTTTTTCTGTAATTTGTGGGTTTCCGGATGTTAAGAGGAAAGTAGTTTTCTTTTCATTTGTATATGTGTGAAAGTTTGGGTAGAACTTGGAGGCTACGTCAAAGCGTTCATTTCGTTCACTGCTATAGAGGGTACAATTTGAGATAAAATGCGTTACTTACGGAAACCTCCTTGGGTTTGTCCATGACTAGAGGAGGACTGATGAACATACTGGCAGCCAGAGCGTTAGCTCGTGCGTTAGCCGCCGCTGCCTCCGCTAACAGGGTAGACTTGTTCTTACTCCCCTTGGGTCTGCCTCTGCCCCGTCCTCCGCGCCCCCTCCCCCTGCCAGAGGTGGAGCTCACTGTGGAAGATGTTGGTGAGGACAGGCTTCCCCCAGGGGAGCTGAGCGTTGATTGGAACAGCGGGCTACTGAAGGCTACTTTTGTGTCTGTAAGATGATCAAAGAAAATGGTGAACTTTTGAGATAAGAAACTATACCAAAAACTAATTGTGTTATCATGTAGATAGATATGATATTATAGACATGAAATTATGCTTGTATGCGTAAATTCATCAGATATATCAAGCACATGATGTGACTCAAAATATCATTCAAAAATTCTTTCCTAAACTAGAGGGCTACTTACAGGTTTAAACTTTTTGACCGATCTTGCAAAACACTGCTAAAACGTAGAGTGATTTGTCTACTAGTGAGAAAAACCTTTTTACCACTGTTAAGTAGAAAAAGTGGTAAAACAATGTTTGTAACAGTTGAAAATAGATTCTTAACTAGAGTAACATTTGCAAAGCAAATGCATAATGTTTACATTTGCATATGGTCTGCTCTGTTAATTCTTACTCTAGTAGAACACATTCATATATAATAATAATTATGGTCAGACAGAAGTCTAAATCCCTCTTGCTAAAAAATTGCAACATGAAGTAACCCGAAACCAGTTACCATGGTGACAGATGTTGGGTTCAGTTCATTGACCTTTTTCTTTGGAGAAGAAATTTAAGAAGAAGCAGAGGAAACAGAGCAAAAACAATGTTTTCCTTAGGTAAATGTAATAATCAACTTTGACCTTACCTGATCCACTGGACGTTGGTGAAGCTCCAATGCTCCCGAAGGTGGGCGGCATGGCGAGGCCGGGGAAGAACCCTGCGCCCATTCCCGCCATGGTACGGGCGTGCGCGCTGGCCTGTCTCCACCAATCTGCACCTAGCACCACAACATAAGACACTTCATATTCTCACAAGGGTGACACTTAACCTCCAACCTGTAAACTATGACCCACTGATACATACCTATAGTTGTCACAGTGGCAGTTTTAAAGCATCATCTTTCTGTCCATCTCTCACAAATTCTGCAGTTTGTTTCAAAGTTGCTAGGGAGCATACATTTTTGCAACGACAGTGCATACATTTTTGGGAATAATGTAGGTGCACTAAAAGTTAGGTGCACAAAAAATTTTTTCGGTGCACCATATAAGCATAATATTATTAGAGATCTTACTGCTCCTCTTCTAAGCTTGAATCTGAAATGGGAGCTAACTTCAAATCTTACACAAGAACTACAACAAAGATTCTATTATTTTTCTGACGATTTAGATGCCAAGAATATCCTGTATACTATTATACATTTGATATGTAAAAAATACCTACAAAAATATTTGGGTGTACCAGTGCACCCGCAGAAAAAAAATGGGTGCACAGCTCCAATTTTGGGTGCATTAAGGTGCACATGCACCCAGTATTTCCAGCCCTGCCTGCACCAGTGCAGGTATGCAGAAAAAAGTATTTTGCGCCCTGCGGACTATAGTTACATGATTGACACTTGAACCTGACCTGATGTGGGGCTGAGTGACCCGGGAGTACCCAGCATGCCCAGTCCCCCAAACTGGAAGGGATGTGTGCCGAACATGGAGAAGGCGCTGGGCATGTGGCCGTACGGGGACGTGGTCGACGTCCCGAACAGGGACTGACCTGAAATCACGGAAGACAACAACTTATTATGTTTACCACTCGGCATGTGGCCGTACGGGGACGTGGTGGACGTCCCAAACAGGGACTGACCTGAAATTACAGAAGACAACAACATGTCTTGTATATATGTAAATATTACTAACGCACTAATGCACTTGTCCCGTCTTTCGCACACCCAAAATCAGTTGTTTTATGTTCCCTTCTCGGTTATCCTTTTTTTCCCTTTGTCTTTTATGTACCGGGTCACAATTGTAACTAACAAAGCGCAACGGCTGCCAACAATCCTACACTGTAGGGCTGGGCAGTAACAAAGAAGAAGAACAACAACAACAACTTATATAACCAACATCCTGTTCTCAAAGCTTCGTTATATACAGAAGCAAGTATGTGTTGCTTTACCATAAATAATTGTCTAATAATTTTTCAGAAAGATATGAAGCGACATGGCAAAAAAAAATAAAAACAAAAACAGGTCTAGGCATCCCATTATAGCCTCAAATGCAACGATGGGAGCCATGATTGAAGTTGACACAAAAGGCTGGGTTAATATTTAAACAATGAACTTTTAAGTTTTAATCAAACCACTGCATTGATAGATGGAAATGTCTGTAACAATTTGGAGGAGAGGACTTTCCTCAACTGTTGCGGGCAAAATATGACTATGAGCACATTTGAGTTGATTCAGAACCAGATTTTTTTTTTTTGCAACGCAGAAAAAAATGATGAAGAAGAGAATCCGAGAACCAACAAATTAAATTGGTGTAGCCTAAAGTTTCCATGCCATACCTGAGGCCAGGAAGCTGGCTGTGTTGAAGATGTTAGTACTGCTGGTTGTGGTGCTGCTGGGACTACTGGTGGTCCCCCGCGTACTGCCGCTCGGAGGACTGTCCTCCGACTTCTCTCGACTCGACTCCATATTCAGTCATCCTGCAGGAAAACAACACAACAAGGTAAATAAACATGGCAACACAGTGGTCCAAATACTATTTTTCAATGTTCAAAAAACATATTTTTTTGGTGGTCGAAATCCTTTTTTTGCAATGTTCAAAAATATATTTTTTCGGTGGTCGAAATACTTTTCTTCAATGTTCAAAAACATATTTTTTCGGTTGTTGAAATGCTTTCTTTCAATGTCTGAAAATATCTTTTTTTGGTAGTTGAAATACTTTTTTTTCAACGTTCAAAAACATTTTTTCGGTGGTCGAAATGCTTTTTTTCAATGTTCAAAAGTATTTTTTTTCTGTGGTCGAAATACTTTTGTAATCGTCAAAAATTTTTTTTTCGGTGGTCAAAAAACTTTTTTTCAATTTTCAAAAACATATTTTTTCATAATTCAACCAAGAATTGAGCTGTTCAAAAACTTGTGTTTTCCAAGAACTATTGTAGAGTGGACCTCATTTCCACCTAGTACAGTTGGGACATCATCACTAGAAAGCTTTAAACAACTCCTGCAGTTTAATGTGCAAGAATTGAGTGCAACAAGTGGTTCGGTGTGATATAGCTAGCTGCCGCCGCGCCGCATGCCCATGAAGCTGGTGTGTTATGCCGAAGGGCGGTTATATCAGCTATACAGAATGATACACAGAAAGACAAGACCTTCAAATAAGGTAACATGAATTGGTGCTCATATATGGTGAACAAAGTCAGAGTACATGTACCGTCCGGTATATCAAAAAGCTGTTATCCATTGATATTTCAAACATTTTACCGAATATTATATATAGGAGACACACCAAACCACTTGCTTTAAACAGTGGAAACGTGACAGACAAAAAGAATTTTGCAAAAACAAAAATCAAAGTGGTCCTAGCTCAAGACATATCCTGTCAACACTGCCAGTTGCACTTTGGTCTACTGGTCATATGGTGAAAACACAGGGGTACAATGTGCTCATATTGACACTGTGGGCTATGGTGTATACATAAACACACTGTTAACAATGGTGGACATTACTACAGCTTTAGACTAGCACCCACATAGACTACGGCTAATACACTGTAGTAAGTGATTAAATCAGTGACCAGACAAATTTCATAAATAAATACAGGTGGCGGTACTCAATCAATAACGTGTATTATAGTATAATCTAAATCTGTGGTATTTTTTAATCAGGTGTAGCCTTTTTCCATAAGGCCACACTAATTTAATTTCTTGGTTAACGGATTCACCAGCTTCATTTTTTTCTGATTTGCAAAAAAAAAAATTCAGAATCAACTGCAAAATGCTCATATTTTGCCCTGAACAGTTGAAAACAGTCCCTTTCTTCCTAGTTGTTACATTTATTCCATCTTTCAATGCAGTGGTATCATTAAAAGTTCAAAGTTAATTGTTTAAATTTTGAACCAGCCTGGCATGATGTGTTGACTTCATGGCTCCTATCATACCATTTTGGGCCATAATAGGATGCCTAGGCCTGTTTTTTTTTGTTTTTTTGCCCGCCCGCTCCATTATTTTTCTACAAAAATTCGTTAAGCAAGAAATTAAATTGGTGTGGCCTAACCTAAATCTGTGGTATTTTTTAATCAGGTGCATCTTTTTCCATGAAGGTTAATGCTTGTGATGTTGGTTGGCATGCACTGATCTTCACTTTAAACACACAGAACACAGATAAATGTGTACATTGTGTGAACTTTAGGGAAAAAATCAGTATCAATTTCCAAAAAAAAAAGTCTTCCTTTTCGGGAAAGGAGCATGGAATCAGCCTGGGTATGGGGGCAACAGAATAATTCAACAAATTTCAAAGACAAAGAGAACATTTGAAAGAAAACGTTTTGTGTGTTTCGTTGTCTTTGAAATCATGCATCATATTCCAATTATAAAGTAAAGGGTCAAACAAATCTAATTTTGGTTGGTCAACAGTCGCCTTCTAGTAGCAAGCGGGTCTAAATGATACTGACAAGAGGAGACAGGGCTCAAAATTAAAGGTGGTCCAATGGCCACTGACCACTAAATTTTAGGCTGGAACAACCAAAAAGACAGTTTGGGACATTTTTGGGACAGTAGAAAAATAATCAGCGTTTAGAATGTCTGCCCTTCTCTTTTGTTATAAGGCACACGTCCCGGCTTTTAGCTCCAGAAAAGTCACCCCAAATTTCCTGTCTACTCTGCAATAGAGTCTGAAGGGAGTGAACATAAGCAAAATGAAGCTGACTTCAAGCTGAAGTCATATAATACTTCCAAAAATCCCCCCCCCAAAAAAAAATGGTTGGGACAGTTCATCCTCACTTTGTCTTCGGGACAGTTGAAATTTATTTTTGGGACAGTGCTGGGACAATAGGGAGAAAAGTTAATTTCGAGGCTTGTAAAGGGTCCAACAAATCAAATTTTGGTTGGTCAACGGTCGCCGTCTAGTAGCAAGGGGGCCTAAATGATACTGGCAAGAGGAGATGTGCTTTTTTAACTGCTCCCACCTCTATCATTTATCTGTTTGGGAGCCAGCCTAAAGAGAGTCTGACCTTTCCCTGTCAGCTCTAGGATTGCTCTAGTGTCACTGCTGGCAGGTTTTAACCATCATGAATACTAAACAAGCTGGGAAAGCAGCGCTCCTAGGCCACAGCAATTTAACTTGTTGTTTCTCGGATTCGCCCTGTCCATTTTTTTTTCTGATTTTCAAAAAAAAAAGATTTTCACTGCTGGCAGGTTTTAACGTTCATGAATGCTAAACAACCTGGGAAAGCGGCGCTCCTAGGCCACAGCAATTTAACTTGTTGTCTCTCGGCTTCGTCCTGTCTATTTTTTTCTGATTTGAAAAGAAAAAGATTTTAGGCCAAACCAATTTAATTTGTTGCTTCTCGGTTTCGCCCTGTCCATTTTTTTTCTGATTTGCAAAAAAGAAAAAAGAACAGATTTTAGGTTCTGAATCAACTGCAAAATGCTCCGTGAAAGACATATTTTGGCCCCAATGATTGAAGAAAGTCCTTTTCTTCCTAGTTGTTAAAGTTTTTCAATGTAACAATGCAACTTTGTTTCATTAAAAGTTAAAAATCTATAATTTTGTTTTAATCATAAACCAGCCTGGTATGTTGACTTCATGGCTCATATTGTAACATTTCTGGCCTTCATGGGGTGCCTTGGCCTGTTTTTTTTTTACTTTTATTTCGCCCTGTCACTTGATATTTTTTCAGAAAAAATCTGGGAATCAACAAATTAAATAGGTGTTGCCTACTATTTCTGGCTATCGTTGGGTACCTTGGCCGGGTTTTTTTTTTGCACTGTCGCTTCATATTTTAACTGAAAAAATCTGAGAAACAACAAATTAAATTGGTGTGCTCCTACCATCCATCTACCCAGACAAGCCAGCCAAGCCCTGCCGGTAAACAGACATTTAGAAATGATGACTCAACGTCAGTATGGAAAATTACCAACCTGCCAAACGGTGCTGTTCTATATTCTGGTAGGTATGGGACCCGGGGGAGCGTGCCAATGTGCATTCATAAAAGCCAATGATTCTATCTGCATCAAGATTAGCCACTGCAATGGGTGTGACGAGTAACATAGCTACAAGTACAACACTGTCTATGCTCTTTTTAGGTACAATTGTGGACAATTGTGGACAAGTTGCGGAGCAATCTTGGACAGCTTTAACGTATAATTGTTGCATCTTGTTGTTGATATATAGCATCTACCTATGTGTAATTGTGTATAGATTTATTAGGAGTTAAAGGCATCCAGTGCAGTTTTTAGGGCTTGGAAACATGATTTTTCAAAGTCAATATTCTAGTCACTTAATCTACATACTGAGTTGAAACTACATTGTGTACACTAACCCAATGTATATTGACCCTCATGGAGCAAAAATACCCAAAATTCTTATGAAAAATGGTTACTGGAAGGGCCCTGGGCTGATTTTTAGGGTACCTCCCATAAAATAAAGGACTCATCTTGGAGCTTGTTTCTCCAGTTTTAAGTACCCAAAGTATGAAATAATGATTGAAATGTGCTAATATGTGAAGCAGTATGTGTCAATATCATAAAGATTGCCTTATACAGAATATTTGCAGTTTTGCTGCTCTGAAATCGCATTGAATGATATTAAAATGAAATTGTATGTTATCTATTTGGTTCAAACAAACAAACAAACACCTTTTGCTTCCACTATGTTGACAACAATGACGCCTCAATTTGCCCTAACATTTGCCTGGCCTGTGCACTTTCTACTGGCACAAAATGGTCCTATTTGTGATAGATTCCCATAACCGTCACTGGACATTCATGTAATACATGAGTTTCCAAAAGTACTACAAAACATGACCATTCAAAACAACATTTTTCAGAATTTTATCCAACCTCCTATTTCCTACTATAGCTAACTAGATACAAGTCATTCTACAGTAATAACTTGTGGTAAATCAAAAATTAATGCGGCCAGCTAGCAAAAGAACTAATTCCATCCAGGCTTTCTTGTTGTCACTATTTATGACATCATCCAGTGCCTCCTGAATACAATGACAAATCAAGTTTACGGCTGGGCCTGCTTGTACATGTAATAATCTACATACACCACTACATCATACTGTCAGCGAGAATCAGTCATTCTACCAAAGACTGTAGAGATAACGATGTCGTTCCTTGTAATCTGACATTTCCCTCTTAGGCCACAACAATTTAATTTGTTGGTTCTTGGATTTTTTTTGAAAAATATGAAGGGACAGGGCAAAAAAATTGAAAATAAAAACAGGTCTAGGCATCCTATTATAGCCCCAAATGCTTCGAAAGAAGCCATGAAGTCAACACAAAAGGCTGGGTTAATATTTAAACAATGAATTTTGAACTTTTAATCAAATCACTGCATTGATAGATGAAAAAACTGTAACAAGTACCAAGAAAAAGACTTTCCTCAACTGTTGGGGGCAAAATATTAGCATTTTTGAGTTGATTCAGAACCAGAATTTTTTTTTTTTGTTGCAAATTAGAAAAAGATGAAGAGG